CCTTAACACTACACAGCTGATTCAAAGGATCAAAGCTGGATGATTAGTTGATTGTTTGAATCAGCTGTGTAGTGCTATGGCAAAAACCAAAACGTGCACACCTTGGAGTCCCGAGTTTGGGAAACCCTGCCATATAGGTACAGTTTAAAATATTCTCACACCTATCTTTTTAAACTGATTAGATTACTCAACTGTTGAAGTTTAAACACTGAGGTAAACACTAATGCTCAGGCACAATTTAAAAGAAACAAAAATACAATAAAAAAGCTCATTCAGATTCAGAAGGGTTCTATGTAGAACCCTTCTTGCCTTCCAAATAATCGTTTTTGCCTTCCAAATAATAATCAAAGAACCCTTTCTAGGAAAAACAGTTCTTAGGATGAAAAAAGTTACAGGTAGAACTCTATCCCTCCACAAATAACCCTTTTGGATTGCACGCATAACAGCTATATTGTAATATTCTATTGTTACAGGTCTAATGCTAATTGGCAATATCAGCTTCTGACTGTGTCATTCCAATGTGATTTCATCTACCAATCTACATATAAGCTCATAGCCAGTAGTGGTAGGTGGGTAAAATTACTGGGGAAGCCAAGCCAGGGAAAAAAAGCCATATTACAACCTACACTATCGTTCAAAAGTTTGGGGTCACTTAGAAAGTTCCTTGTTTTCCATGAAAACATACATGAAATTAGTTTGAATAGGAAATATAGCAAAATGCATAGGAAATGTAGTCATTGACAAGGTTAGAAATAATGATTTTTGTGTCCTTCAAACGTTGCTTTCGTCAAAGAATCCTCCATTTGCAGCAATTACAGACTTGCAGACCTTTGGCATTATAGTTGTTAATTTGTTGAGGTAATCTGAAGAGATTTCACCCCATGCTTCCTGAAGCACCTCCCACAAGTTGGATTGGCTTGATGGGCACTTCTTACGTACCATACGGTCAAGCTGCTTTTTCTTTGCAACTCTGCCCAGAAGGTCAGCATCCCGGAGTAACCTTTTCACTGCTGACATTGAGACTGGTTTTTTGCAGGTACTATTTAATGAAGCTGCCAGTTGAGGACCTGTGAGGCGTCTGTTTCTCAAACTAGACACTCTAATGTATTTGTCCTATTGCTCAGTTGTGCACCGGGGCCTCCCACTCCTCTTTCTATTCTGGTCAGAGCCAGTTTGCGCTGTTCTGTGAAGGGAGTAGTACACAGCGTTGTACGAGATCTTCAGTTTCTTGGCAAGTTCTCGCATGGAATAGCCTTCATTTCTCAGAACAAGAATAGACTGACGAGTTTCAGAAGAAAGTTATTTGTTTCTGGCCATTTTGAGCCTGTAATCAAACCCACAATTGCTGATGCTCCAGATACTCAACTAGTCTCAAGAAGGCCAGTTTTATTGCTTCTTTAATCAGCACAACAGTTTTCAGCTGTGCTAACATAATTGCAAAAGGGTTTTCTAATGATCATTTAGCCTTTTAAAATGATAAACTTGGATTAGCAAACACAGGACTGATGGTTGCTGATAATGGGCCTCTTTACACCTATGTAGATATTCCATTAAAAATCAGCCGTTTCCAGCTACAATAGCCATTTACAACATTAACAAGGACATTTCTAAGTGCCCCCAAACTTTTGAACGGTAGTGTATGTGTTGTGATAAGTGCGTTGTTTGCTCTAAAACCTGTTAGTTCATATGCCGTGCGACCGTGATATATTGGCCTAAGGCTGAGACAATGAAAAGACACAGTGGCAGAATAAATTCAACCACACCTTTGTTTCATCACAAAACCGGAGAGCAACTTCTGTCCGGTGAAGTCCACAAATCATATTGCATGTAACAGACAGTTACTGTACGTGACCTACAGCATGGTCAAGCAAGTTAATGTTTCCTGATTTATCGGACCACTAAACAACTATTGTTTTAGAACCACGGCGATATCGCAAAGAAAACGGGAGCTGCCTCCACTATTCCAGCACCATTTCAACTTCAACATTTCATCATCCTCAAATCACCTATGCTTAGTCTAATACAGTGACAACTGAAAGATACCAAAAACAATTTAATACAATCAATGTAAACTAAATATGATGTGGCTGTCCATGATTCTGCTTTCGGTCTGTGTGTGTGTGTGTGTGTGTGTGTGTGTGTGTGTGTGTGTGTGTGTGTGGGTGCATTTGTGCAAGTAGAAACAACATGTTGACTCACACTACTTGTAGCGAAACGCAAATGCCATCCTCCTCTCATTCATGTTGACGGAACGGTCTATGACTGTCATGCAGTACATGCTTTTAGTTTCTGTTGTCCTAGGCTACCTGGCTAAAATGCTTGCTCGCTAGCCTAACTTCCTTTCATGAGCAATGTTAGCTAGTTAACATTAGCCTTCTACATCTAGCTACATATTGAACTTCCATTCTCTCAGGCCAGGGGCACAATGTATGAATGTATGAATGTATGGTTGGATCAGAATCGCTGTTATAATCAATGACCAGTACGGAGAATTAAGTAAACCACAAGTCCAAATCACTATCTCCATCCATGGCTCATTTAGGAAAGGGCCAATTTTAAGTTGTTTCTGTCAATGGCGTGTTGCTCTCGATGTGATATGATTGGAGTGAAGCCAAATCCAAACTGGCTTCCCTTTTACACTTTTTTTTGGTGCGTCAGTGAGCTCACTCAGTTTAGCTCAATGCTGATTGGCTATTATTTTATACTTTTTTAAATCAAAGGAGGCCAAATGCTCGCTGGCTTCTCTTGAATTTAATGCTACAGACAGTAACAGTGTCATACTCTTTTTGACCAGACAGCATCAGATAGATGGGCTACGCATACAGAGATAGAGGGGGCGCTGTTTCGCTCGCTCGGATGCTTTCTCCGGTGAGATACATTCAGCCTCTTGCGAAGTGAAGGAAAATTATGAAACACAGAGATGTTATTATTTTTATTTTTTATTAATATATGCCACTGTAGCTGATAGTCTATTCAGCCCTTTGAACAGGACTTACCACAGGCTTAAAATAGAGATTCACCCATTTTGAATCTTATATTGTTTTTGTGCATTTCTGAGCGATGTTCTATCGATTATTTTCATGTTTTAATGTGTATCTGAGCTATTGCCATTCAAGCAGGCAGAAATTTGTCTGGTATGACATACAGGGTTGCAATGTCCATGGTTTTCCAGCCAAATTGGACTACTTTAAAATGATGTCACGGGTGAAAATATATTGGTTGCAGGTTTTTTGGGCTAACTTTAAGATGCACTGCGGGCCGCCATGGCATTTCTATAAAAAACATTGATGGGGAATATATTATATATTATGCTGTGAGAGAAAGATCACATATTTACCTGATTTGTTTAATATTAATAGTTAACAATTAATATGCTTAACAATAGTAGAGACATTTCTTAACTACCAATGCTGTGCTTTTCGTAAGGATGGTTCCCTCTAGCTCCCTGCAGCTGGTCTGGTCTGGGCGTGTAGTCAAGGACATGGGATAGAGATAAACTTGAGGAACAGATAGACCTGTATTGTTTCAATTTCTCGTTGCTTCTGAGTAACCTGGTCACAAGGCAAAGAGCCTCAGAGTGACCACAGTTTTTCAGTTCATCCTGTCTTTTACTATCTTCCAAGGGCGCAGCTGTGTGGAGATATGAGTAGTAACGGAACTAACGTTATTACTTGTTTGTGCGCTATGACCCGATACACATAGCCACAAGAAGAAAACAAGGTGGCTCCTGATCTGCCAGGGTGGGGCGTGCTTGTATGAAAAGCAGAGAATTGTTTTAGACATTTTGCAGAACTTATGAAGAGCTATACAAATCCTGTTGACTCTGTATTAACTTCTGCCTGCAATTGCATAACTAAATATATTTTACATATACTCAGAAGCCGTTGTCTGTGTCATTTTCTAAAGTTTAAAGTTTGTTTAAGAATAAGACAATATCAGCACTGTGCAAAGAATCCTCAACATTTTGGCGAGCTTGCCAGGAGTGAGTGACCACCCGGCGTTGGAGTGAGCGTCGACCCACTATGCCGCGCAACTAATTACTTAAAGATAAGCAGACGCCTGTTATATCTAAAGTCTGTAATTTGAACAAAGCACTGTGTGGTTGATGACTCATTCTGACACGTAAGTGACGACTCACTCACAGTATGCTGTTCATTTAAGAGACGAAACCTACACTGTGGTATATATTGATTTATTACTAAACTCTAAATAGATAAACCTGTTGGAAACTGACACAGACCACCTAGATGATAGTTAGAAATTCCTAGGTGTGAATATGTATATGTTGACTTGGTGATAGGATGTAAGGCAAATTCCAAGTATAAAGCCGATGGTTATGATTAAAGGCCTGTAATTGTGTACTCCGGAGTGATAGGACGGTAAATGAGAAGTTTGCGCCCGTGTAATAATTATTGAATGTGTTGTGTTATGTATTACTATGACGGTTGATTAATGGCTGGATGGTGGGCTGAAAATTCTGGGTTATCTAGACACCTGTTTGAAGAAAGGGCGTTTTCATTTGTGGAGGGGACTTTTAGTAACAGGCTAGCTGTGCCACATTAAACCTTGATCTATACGCTAAAGCTGTCATTGAAACTACCGACTTCAGATATAGGTTGTCCTTGTACGTATTGAGTGGAACCTCTTTCGAAACTGTTTTGGGACCATTTCCAAATGAAAATTTACATGCTGAAATTAGAATAATAATTCAGACCAAACCTATTACCTCCCTAGTTCCTGTGTTTGTTGAACCCTTTACCCTAGCCTGGCTGGCGAACGGTTGTAATACCGTTAAGTTATCAGTTCGCCTGGACTGTATTAAATTTAAAGTAATTTATCATCCTGTCTGTATGGGGATGAGACATAAAACATTATACTGGTGTATACACTGTATTTCCACCTCACTGTTTTCTTACCCCAAACTATGAATAGGGGTAGTAGTAGGGAGATAGTGTTAGGCACCCACTGATATAGGAAACACATTTGCATTTTAGCCCACATTACACGTAGGACGACCCCGATAAAAACTAGCAATCATGGCAGACAATTCAACAGTTCCCTCTCACATGCCCTCGGGACCCACACCAATGAAGCCTGTAACTCCTGTTGAGTACCTAGCCCAACAATACCCAGCACTCCAAAAATATATTGTATGGGTGTTTAAGAAATGGCATGAATGGACAATTAGTCACAGGGAATTTTGGTTCCCCAAAGATGGGTCTTTTGACAAGAATCAATTTAACATCGTCCATGACATCGTGGAGAAGTGTCACGCTCGTTGATTGACGGCTCCGACCAAGGTGCAGCGTGGTAGGCAAACATTTTAATTTATTAACTGAATACAGATCAAATACCAAAACACAAACGAACGTAAAGTTCTGCAGGCTACACAGCTACTAACCAGAAACAAGATCCCACAAACTAAGGTGGAAAAAAGGCTGCCTAAGTATGATCCCCAATCAGAGACAACGATCGACAGCTGCCTCTGATTGGGAACCACACCCGGCCAACAAAGAAATAGAAAACCTAGAATGGACACCCAAATCACACCCTGACCTAACCAACTAGAGAATAAAAGGGATCTCCAAGGTCAGGGCGTGACAGTCCCCCCCCCCCCCCCCCAAAGGTGCGGACTCCAGCCGCAAAAACCTGACTCATTAGGGGAGGGTCCGGGTGGGCATCTAGCCTCGGTGGCGGCTCCGGCTTTGGGCGCAACGTAGGTCTTAACCTCTTCTCCCTTCCTGCCTCCCCGTTGCACACCCGGTCCGGTCTAAACCCTGGCGCAATGCTTCCCCTCTCAGTCCTCCCACGATGCACCAAGCCCTGTCTGGACCCTGGTGTGGGAGCCCTCGACCCTGGAGAGGGGTTAACGTCTGGTTCCGGCCCGGCAGTCCTCCTGCGATGCACCAAGCCCTGTCTGGACCCTGGTGTGGGAGGCCCCAACCCTGGAGAGGGGTTAACGTCTGAGGGTTAACGCCGGACTGCCCCGGCTCTGGTAGGGAGCAGATAACCGGAGCTGGACTAAACACAGGTGGAGCGGACTACTCCAGCACTGGAGTGGAGCAGCTAACTGGTGCTGAACTGGGCACCGGTGGAGCAGACTACTCTGGCACCGGGGTGGAGCAGAGGACCCTCGCTGGAGGTCTGGTGCGAGGAGCAGGCACGGGCCGTACCGGGCTGGGGACACGCACCACTGGTCTGGTGCGAGGAGCAGACACGGGCCGTACCGGGCTGGAGACACGCACCACTGGTTTGGTGCGAGGAGCAGGCACAACCCGTCCTGGCTAGACGCTCACTTTAGGCCGGCAAGTGCGGGCGCGGGCACCAAGCGCACCGGGCTGTGAATGTGCACTGGAGACACAGTGCATATCACCACATAACAGGGTGCCTGAACGGTCCCACGCTCCTTAAAGCGAGTGCGGGGAGTTGGCTCTGGTCTGAAACCTGGCTCCACCAACCACCCCGTATGCCACCCCCCCAAAAAAATATTTGGGGCTGCCTCTCGGGCTTCCGTCGTGGTCGTGACCTTCGGAGTCGCCCTTGATCCTCCCTCGCTGCCTCCGTCTGCTCCCATTGAAGGCGATCCATACCTGCCCGGATCTCTTCCAACGTCCAGGATCCCTTTCCGTCCAAGATATCCTCCCATGTCTACGATGTCTGCTCCTCCTGGCCACGCTGCTTGGTCCGTTTGTGGTGGGATCTTCTGTCACGCTCGTTGATTGACGGCTCGGACCAAGGTGCAGCGTGGTAGGCGAACATTTTAATTTATTAACTGAATACAGATCAAATACCAAAACACAAATGAACATAAAGTTCTACAGGCTACACAGCTACTAACCAGAAACAAGATCCCACAAACTAAGGTGGGAAAAAGGCTGCCTAAGTATGATCCCCAATCAGAGACAACGATCGACAGCTGCCTCTAATTGGGAACCACACCCGGCCAACAAAGAAATAGAAAACCTAGAATGGACACCCAAATCACACCCTGACCTAACCAACTAGAGAATAAAAGGGATCTCCAAGATCAGGGCGTGACAAGAAGACAAAACAAGGGAAGAAAAAGGCAGAGAAAAAAGCCACACTGGAATCTGTAACTGTTTTACAACTACTCCGGTCAGAGGGAACCGTGTAGAAGCCCTATAAAAAAGAATATCCCGCCCTTCTAACAGCACCACCACCACCTCCCCTATATGATGATTGTTCCGGCTACAAAGGAGGTGCATTCCCTCTGAGACAGGTTGGCTTCGAACCAGAACCAAAAGTAAAAACAGTAATCATTAGGGGCACCCTGGAAGAAACTGAAGAGGGAGAAGAGGGCTCAAAACTAGTCAAAACTGTAACTCAGCCACTCAGGAACGTTCACTGTCTTCTTGGTAAGCAACTCCAGTGTAGATTTGGCCTTGTGTATTAGGTTATTGTCCTGCTGAAAGGTGAATTCATCTCAGAGTGTCTGGTGGAAAGCAGACGGAATCAGGTTTTCCTCTAAGATTTTGCCTGTGCTTAGCTCCATTCTGTCTCTTTTTTTTTTATCCTGAAAAACTCCCAAGTCCTTATTGATTACAAGCATACCAATAACATGATGCAGCCACCACTATGCTTGAAAATATGGAGAGTGGTACTCAGTAATGTGTTGTATTGGATTTGCCCCAAGCATAACACTTTGTATTCAGGATAAAAAGTTAATTGCTCTGCAACATCTTTTGCATTTTTACTTTAGTGGCTTGTTGCAAACAGGATGCATGTTTTGGAATATTTTTTTTCTGTAAAGGATTCCTTCTTTTTACACTGTCAATTAGGATATTTTTGTGGAGTAACTACAATGTTGTTGATCCATACTCAGTTTTCTCCTATCACAGCCATTAAACTCTGTAACTGTTGTAAAGTCACCATTATTATACCATTAGTCACCTTATTGATTCAATACATTTCAGCTTTTCATTTTTAATTAATTTGTAAACATTTATAAACATTATGGGGTATTGTATGTAAGCCAGTGACAACAAATCTAATTTTAATCAATTTTAAATTCAGGCTGTAACACAACAAAATGGGAAAAGAGTCAAGGGATATGAATTCTTTCTGAAGACACAAACAAAAACCATTGATTTCAAAGTTTAACAAACTATACAACTCTATGCACAAGGACTACATTTAACAATTTCCACTGAACATTTTTACAAAAACACATTTACAGGAAGAACTGTGCAGATACAATGTTTGGTAACAGAATAAAACTGAGGGAGATTTTGCACAGTTTTTGCAGTTAATGTTAATTTTTTATTTATGTACTGTGTAAATAGTTCAAAGTAGTCATTGTGCATAGTTGTATGGTTTGTTAGACTTTGAAATCAGTAGCTTTTGTTTGGCATACATTTAAAGTGAAAAATCGGACACAGCACGCACAAACACACAGACACAGACACACACACACTGACCGAAACACGTAGTCATGATCATCGATTTCCTTCCCCATCCCAGAGCCATTGAGTATTCCTCCGTTGGCCACCACAGCACAGCGAATACACATGGGGTTTCCCCGCGGCAGGAGCAGGGGTTCTCCTGGCTTGGGGATCAGGTCCACCACTGCCTTTATCTCTGAAACCACACACACATAGTATGCTTTACTTGTTTGTGTCTTTGGGATTCCATAAAGCAAGCACCACTTGACTTGGCACCATTTGATGGTAGCAGTACCAGAAAGTACTGTACTACTACACATTGTAACCACACAAAAAACAAGCCAAGTAGACCTTTTTTTAAATATATTTTCGCAGTGGACTTTCTTTGGGCTGTCAAATGAATGTCACAGGTGTGACAATGGGAGATTCTCAATTGGTTTTGCTAATTCCTCTGTCCTCTCCTCGCAACCTTTTAAAAAAGGTCAAAGGTAATCGAGGAGAGAAGCGCTTGCATGAAATAAAACTCTTCTTGTCCACTAGCGCATCATCAGGCAAATTACGTTTACGGAGGATTAATCAAATCAAAGTTTGTTTGTTGCGTACCCAGATTAGCAGATGGGGGGCCAGTATGAAAAATGTATGCACTCACTAACTGTAAGTCGCTCTGGATAAGAACGTCTGCTAAATGACTAAAATGTAAATGTAAATGTAAATGTTAAAGCAGGTGCAGCGAAATGCTTGTGTTTCTAGCTCCAGCAGTACAGTAAATGTCTAACAGTACATACTAATACACCAGTGGAGGCTCCTCAGAGAAGGAAGGGGAGGACCATCCTCCTCAGTGAATTTCAGAAAAAAAATAGTGAAGCAAAGTTATCCTTTTTAGATAACTATACTAAATATATTCACGTCACCAAATAATTGATCAAAACCCTCAACAGCACGCTGTAGGGTAACACCATGGTGTAGTCGGAGGACAGCTAGTTTCCGTCCTCCTCTGGGTACATTGACTTCAATACAAAATCTAGGAGGCTCATGGTTCTCACCCCCTTCCATAGACTTAGACAGTAATTATGACAACTTCCGGAGGACGTCCACCAACCTATCAGAGCTCTTTGCAGCATGAACTGACATGTTGTTCACCCAATCAAAGAATCTGAGAATTAATCTAGTAATGCAAGCATAAGCTACAGCTAGCTAGCACTGCTGTGCATAAAATGTGGTGAGTAGTTGACTCAAAGCGAAAGACAATATTTTAACAGTTTTGAACAAATTAATTTCTTCACAAATGAAGGAGAATCAATAGAGAGAGAGAGAGCTAGCTATATTTCTCGTATTTTTTCACTTTCACTTAGCTAGTGAATGCAGCTAGCTAGTTTAACCTACTCAAACACCCGGCTCAAACAGAGAGGGATGCTATGTTAGCTAGCTGGCTATGGTTATCCAACACTGGAACTCTTCCGATTCAAGGTAAGCTTTTGGTTTTATTCATTTATTGCCACTGTGGCCTGCCGGGGTAACTGCTAAACTGCTTGCCTACTGTACACTGTACTGCATGATTGTAGCGGGTTTACTAACACGTTAGTTCTAGTAGCTATATTGACTATGACGTTAACTAATATGGTGACAACAATGTAGGCTGTGTGTAGCGGTTAGTGGTTATGATATGAAGGTTTGGCTTTTCACCTGGTCACAGACAGCTTATGTGTTCAAGAAATCAATAAATTAAGAAATATCAGAACAATAAATAGGAATGTCTGAGTCCGGAATATAAATATGTGGTGTGTATTAACAGTATGGACAATATATACATAGGAAAAATGTATGTACAGCAGTAGTTATATAGGATGAGCTATGTCCAGAACATAGTATGTCCAGCAGTAGTTATATAGGATGAGCTATTTCCAGAATACAGTATGTACATATAAAGTGAGTAATCAAAAAGCTTAATTTCTCAGAGATCAAATTACATTTCAACAGAATAATGTTGCAGGAATGCTAATCGTATCTGTTTCTAACTACATAAATTATTTCAGAACAATAAACGTTATGTAAACATTATTAAAGTGACCATTGTTCAATGACTCCATGTACATAGGGCAGAAGTCTCAATGGTGCAGGGTAGAGTACTGGGTGGTAGCTGGCTAGTGACAGTGTCTAAGGTGCAGGGCAAGGTACCGTGCGGAGGCCGGCTAGTGATGACTGTTTAACAGTCTGATGGCATGGAGATAGAAGCTGTTTTTCAGTCTCTCTGTCCCAGCTTTGATGCACCTGTACTGTCTCCGCCTGCTAGATGGTAGCAGGTTGAACAGGCCATGGCTCGGGTGGCTGAGGTCCTTGATGATCTTCTTGGCCTTCCTGTGACACCGGGTTCTGTAGATGTCCTGGAGGGCAGGCAGTGTGCCCCCGGTGATGCGTGGGCTGACCGCACCACGCTCTGGAGGGCCCTGCGGGTGCGGGCATTGCAGTTGCCGTACTAGGTGATGATACTCTCGATGGTACAACTGTAGAAGTTTGTGAGGGTCTTAGGGGCCAAGACAAATTTATTCAGCCTCCTGAGGTTGAAGAGGCGCTGTTGCGCCTTCTTTACCATGGTGTCGGTGTGGAGGAGCACACACTCCTCTGGGGCCCCCGTGGGTCCCCCGTGTTGAGGATCAGCGTGGCGTAGTTGTTGTTACCTACCTTTAACACTTGGGATCGGCCTGTCAGGAAGTCTAGGACCCAGTTGCACAGGGAGGGGTTCAGACCCAGGGCCCTGAGCTTAGTGATGAGCTTGGAGGGCACTATTGTGTTGAAGGCTGAGCTGTAGTCGATTAACAGCATCCTCACACAGGTATTCCTCTTGTCCAGGCGGGATAGGGCAGTGTACAGTGCAATGGCGATTGCGTCGTCCGTGGATCTGTTGGGGCGGTATGCAAATTGTAGTGGGTCTATGGTGTCGGGTAAGGTGATATGGTCCTTAACTAGCTTCTCAAAGCCCTTCATGATGACAGAGGTCAGTGCTATGGAGCAATAGTCATTTAGTTCAGTTAACTTCACTTTCTTGGGTACAGGAACAATGGTGGACACCTTGAAGTAGGTGGGGACAACAGACTTGGATAAGGAGAGGTTTAATATGTCTATAAACAATCCTGCCAGCTGGTCTGCACATGCTCTGAGGCTTGGGATGTTGTCTGGGCCGGCAGCCTTGCGAGGGTTAACACGCTTGAATGTCTTATGTTGGACATCGAGATCGGGAGCACACGGTCCTCGTGAGCTGCGGGGGCCCAAATCGGCGACTCAGTGTTGTTTTCCTCGAAGCGGGCAAATAAAGTGTTTAGCTTGTCTGGGAGTGAGGCATCGGTGTCCGCAACGTGCCTGGCTTTCCCGAGTGGCATCGCAGTGCTAGCTGTGCCACTAGAGATCCTGGTTCGAATCCAGGCTCTATCGTAGCCGGACGCGACCGGGAGACCCATGGGGCGGCGCACAATTGGCCCAGCGTCGTCCAGGGTAGGGGAGGGAATGGCCGGCAGGGGATGTAGCTCAGTTGGTAGAGCATGGTGTTTGCAACGCCAGGGTTGTGGGTTCGATTCCCACCGGGGGGCCAGTATGAAAAATAAATAAATTATGTATGCACTCGCTAACTGTAAGTTGCTCTGGATAAGAGCGTCTGCTAAATGACTAAAATGTAAAAATGTAAATAATCTGAGATTGTCTGGAGTCCCTGCCACATGCGTCTCATGTCTGAGCCGTTGAATTGCGGCTCCACTTTGTCCCTGTTCTGTCGTTTTGCCTCTTTGATTGCCTTATGGAGGTCGTAGCTAGGAACAACAAGCTCTATGCACTTCCTGATGAATCCAGTCACCAAGTCAGTGTACACGTCGATACAATTCCCAGAGGTGACCCGGAACATTTCCCAGTCCGCGTGATCAAAACAGTCCTGGCACATAGATTCAGATTGGCAGGCCAATGTTGAACAATCCTCACCACAGGTGCGTCCTGTTTAAGTTTCTGCTTATAGGTGGGGAGGAGCAGGATGGAGGCATGATATGATTTGCCGAAGGGCAGGGAAGGGCCTTGTATCCGTCCCGGGAGAGTAACAATGGTCAAGCGTGTTCTCTCCATGTGTAGCATAGGACATGTGTTGGAATACCAAAATATATAAAGTGGTAAAAATAAATTCCGCTAGTTATGGCAGACATTTTATAGATAAAACGTTATTTGGCTTGTAACCATAACAGATCCCTTTTTGGTGCTATTTAGAACCCTTTTTTTAAGGTTCTATAAAGAACCATGCTCATAAGGTTCTAAATGGAACCTTTATGGTGCTATAGAGAACCATCTAACAAAAAGGTTCTATATAGCACCAAAAAGGGTTCCACTATGGTTACAACCATTGACTGTAAAAAGAAAATGGACGGAGCCATTGATGAAATCACCCCATTGTTTCCTATGTGAAGTCTGTGGCACATTTGAAGATCAGGAAGTGTGAAGTGTCGTTTTAGCGTGTTGCCATCTTGCTTCATGGATTCGTTTTTGGAAACATTGCATGCGCAGTTTAAGCTACTCTAGGAAGTGACGTTGCAGGCTAGCACAGTGCTGCATTAGCTCATTGAGTATCTCAAGTTGAAGGCCGGCCTGGGTACTGCAGGCTACCATTAGCAACTAAATTATCCTTATAACTTCTTCTGTGTGCGATTTAAAAATAACCGTCTCAAGGACATGGTTTAATAGAAGGATTGTACTCAAAACATGTATTTATTTATATGAAGATTGACCACAAAGATTGCTATTTTCCCATTCACTATAATGGGGGATCCTGTTTTCTGAAAACAATGCTTGCACTAGACGCAGGAACTTGAAATCCTCAATGAGCGGGGGCAGTCGTTCTCCCCTGGTTACAACCCTTTTTGGTTCTTTATAGAACCTTTATAGAGAATGGTTCTATAAAGAACCTTTCTCAATCTCAAAGGTTCTATAAATAATATTTTGAATAACTTATTTTTATTGTAGTTAGCCATATATGATATTGTTAAAATTCCATAGGTGTTACTATTGTGTTAATTCACAAGTTGAATCAGGGGTATATCTCTGGAACAGCTGGGGGTCCCTGAGGAAAGAATTGAGTACCACTGATTTAGTAATCTAACATAGCAGGCGTAAAAGAAACGCCTGAAACTAGATCTCTTACATACTGGTCTTGACAAGAGGAAAAACAACTCTCGGTGGAGGTTCTCTTCTGCCCTGTTCAACCAATCCAGTAAATGTGGAGGAGGAGTTAAGATGGAGTGTCGCCTTGTTCACGTCCAAAAGCAGAAGTCTCGTCACAGGCTCTCTTTCCATTTCCCCTGAAGAACCGGAACATCCGTTCATTGGGGACTTGGCAGAGGCTACTGATTTAGTTAACAGTTCTCAATTGACACAAGGCCTTACATATAAAGTCTTTCATTTACATTTACGTCATTTAGCAGACGCTCTTATCCAGAGCGACTTACAAATTGGTGCATTCACCCTATAACCAGTGGGATAACCACTTTACAATTTTTTTTTTTTTAAGAGGGGGGTGGGGGGGGGGGGGGGGGGGTAGAAGGATTACTTTATCCTATCCCAGGTATTCCTTAAAGAGGTGGGGACCATAGTGGACCATAGTTATATTTAAGATACAGTTGAAGTCGGAAGTTTACATACACCTTAGCCAAATATATTTAAACTCAGTTTGTCAAAAGTTTAAATGCACTTAATTAGTATTTGGTAGCATTGCCTTTAAATTGTTTAACTTTGGTCAAACGTTTCAGGTAGCCTTCCACAAGCTTCCCACAATAAGTTGAGTGAATTTTGGCCCATTCCTCCTGACAGAGCTGGTGTAACTGAGTCAGGTTTGTAGGCCTACTTGCTCGCACACGCCTTTTCAGTTCTGCCCACAAATGTTCTATAGGATTGAGGTCAGGGCTTTGTGATGGCCACTCCAATACCTTGACTTTGTTGTCCTTAAGCCATTTTGCCACAACTTTGGAAGTATGCTTGGGGTCATTGTCCATTTGGAAGACCAATTTGCGACCAAGCTTTAACTTCCTGACTGATGTCTTGAGATGTTGCTTCAATATATCCACATCATTTTCCTTCCTCATGACGCCATCTATTTTGTGAAGTGCACCAGTTCCTCCTGCAGCAAAGCACCCCCACAGCATGATGCTGCCACCCCCGTGCTTCACGGTTGGGATGGTGTTCTTAGGCTTGCAAGCCTTCCCCTTTTTCCTCCAAACATAACGATGGTCATTATGGCCAAACAGTTCTATTTTTGTTTCATCAGACCAGAGGACATTTCTCCAACAAGTACGATCTTTGTCCCCATGTGCAGTTGCAAACCGTAGTCTGGCTTTTGTATGGCGGTTTTAGAGCAGTGGCTTCTTCCTTGCTGAGCGGCATTTCAGGTTATGTCGATATAGGACTCGTTTTTACTGTGGATATATAAACTTTTGTACCTGTTTCTTCCAGCATCTTCACAAGGTCCTTTGCTGTTGTTCTGGGATTGATTTGCACTTTTCGCACCAAAGTACGTTCATCTCTAGGAGACAGAACGCGTCTCCTTCCTGAGCGGTATGACGGCTGCGTGGTCCCATGGTGTTTATACTTGCGTACTATTGTTTGTACAGATGAACGTGGTACCTTCAGGCATTTGGAAATTGCTCCCAAGGATGAACCAGACTTGATTTTCCCATGATGTCAAGCAAAGAGGCACTGAGTTTGAAGGTAGGCCTTGAAATACATCCACAGGTACACCTCCAATTGACTCAAATGATGTAAATTAGCCTATCAGAAGCTTCTAAAGCATCATTTTCTGGAATATTCCAAGCTGTTTAGTGTATGTAAACTTCTGACCCACTGGAATTGTTTTACAGTGAATTATAAGTGAAATAATCTGTCTGTAAACAATTGTTGGAAAAATTACTTGTGTCATGCACAAAGTAGATGTCCTAACCGACAAGAAGTTTGTGGAGTGGTTGAAAAACGAGTTTTAATGACTCCAACCTAAGTGTATGTAAACTTCCGACTTCAACTGTATATTGGCATAACAGAACAGATTAGATAAACTGGAATGACACTGTGACGCGTACTGAGTATACGAAGTGATGATGAGGTGCAGGTGCGCTGGAGGTGATTAGGGTGCGTTGGGTTTCCATTCCGGTGTTGCTGAGGTGTTGCGCTCAGACCGGTGGCTCAGTAGACCGGCGAATCAGAGCGCCCGGGGGGGAGCAATGGGAGGAGACGTGACAGACACTCCCACTTGACGGTTTCACACAAAGAGCAAACCATGCCCCAGAATATTCTGAGTGGCCACCTCTACATTTTAATTATCACTAAAAGATGAAATAACCCTTTTCTGAACTGCAAAGAACCATTGAAGGGCTCAAATGGTTATTTGAGTCATTATGGTTCCACATAGAACCATCACCCTTACCAAAGATCCCTTGAGGAACCCTCTTTTCTAAGTGTGTACAAAACTATCCTCAACGAAAGGTGGCTATCAAGGATGGGAGGACACAATTCCGTTCGCCTAACGAATTGACACTCTCCTCGATCACTTATTGGTTTCCGGGTCACGGAGGAGGGAGGACGGAGGAGTCGAGGAGAGGACAGTCTTTTCCCCAAATGAGAATCTCCCAATGAGCCTCCATTTGCTTGTGCATGCTGCCTTGGTTTGAGAGAAAAAGGCTAATTGAATGATTGATGCATTGTTCTCATTGACTGTTCCTTTAAATCCTGTTTGAAAAGTACAGGTAAGAGGGAAGTTTGCCATGTAGCTGTGGTCTAACGTTGTAAATTGTTGACTTAAGTTTGAGATAAAAAAAAAATATATGTAACATTGAGAAGTTAAATGACTGTTTAGTTAGTGCTTCCCTCGACCATGCACCAGAACCTGTGTTTTGTTTTGCTTGGTTAAATCATTGTGTTACCTTTGTCCTCCTTTTTGGCCAAGCTTAAAAGAAAACCTCAGTAATTCAGTTTGCATTGACTATTGTGGAGGAGGAAATAAAACTGGTGAAGTTGAAGTCTGGGAATGCATTATTCTGCCACTCAAACCCAAACTAAGAACCTGTTTGTAATGTGTTAGGCAGAACTCCTAATGCTCTTGTTTAAACAAGGGGTGGTTGACTTTGGCAGTTCGACACATATTCCACTTTCTCACTTCTCTTGCGGTTTTCTTGATTTATGCCATGTTCCTGATATTGCACAGCCTTAGCCAATGTAGACCCACCCTCTTTAAACGTGTACTATTGTGTACTAAAGGATGAAAGTTTGTCATCGTGTCAAAAGTCTACACGGCTGAAGAGGGCTGAGCTGAGCTGCCTGCCAAGGATTGTTACACTCCTGGACACACACACACACACACACACACACACACACACACACACACACACACACACACCTGTGTAGTTTGAGTATTCCATGAATCCAAAGGGGTTATTGAAGTGAGCTAGCCTGTTCCACTCTGGCACATTGAGTAGTCCACTGTGGAGGTACAACTGGATGTCTGGTATAAAGGCCTGCTTGAAGCCTGGGTCCTTGGAGTTCCTCAGAGACTGGGGACAGGCCTGACACACACACACACACACAAAAGCACACACACAGTTTATATGGGATGTTTGTTAATATTTGCAAATCCTTGACCAGTGACTGTCTAAAACACAGGCTTACCGTCTGTCTCGGTTGCTTGTCCCGGATGTAAACATCCTCAAAATCCCAGTCGGGATATTGCTTGAAGTCCTTTTTTTGCAGGGGGAGCATGGGGGTCTCCTTGTGTGCAGACCCGGGTCCACCTGTTAATCCATTTGTCTCTTTTACAGTCTGTTTTAAAGTTGTTGGGTCAGTCGTCACGGAATTACTTTTTTCTTTGGTTGTGATTGCTGTCCAATTACCAGCTGCAGTTTTCTCTGATATATTAATATTTAAGTCCACATTGGAGACGTAGTAGATGTTTTTCAACCTTGTGTACCAGCTCCCCCTTTCAGATTTGTCGTAGACAGCCACAACGTCTCCATCGTCATAGTAACGGATCCTGGACCCAAGAATGATAGAAATACACAATGTGTGTTTAATGGATCATTTAAAGATGTTCTTATTTACTTTTGATGATTTGAGATTGGTAGAGAGCTTATACTTCATATGGCCAAAAACATCTGTTGTATTTTTACTATAACTTCGCAGAGATGCCCTCCCCTAGGAAGTAGCTGTAGTTTTTGAAAATTGCTGAATAAAGAAAATCATAGATGACATCATATGGGGTTTTGTTATCTTTTTTTAATACATAACTGTCACGACTTCCGCCAAGGCTGCCTCCCCTCCTTGTTCGGGCAGGCTTCGGCGTTCGTCATCACCGGCTTACTAGCCACTGCCGCTCCATATATCATCATTCCATTTGTCTTGTCTTGTCAATTACACACACCTGGTTCATATCCCCTCATTAGTACGTGTATAAGTGTTCCCTCTGCCCCCTTGTCCTTGTGAGTGATTGTTTTATGTGAAGATGAGTGTAGCTCGGTTGAGCTACCCGTACTTTGTATTGCCGGGGTTATTTCTCCCTGTGTGCCTGTATTGTGTTCCAGTGCGCCTGTATTACGCCCTGTGCTGTTGACACTATCCAGCGTAACTGTATACTACGGAATAAACTCTGTATTCGGTGATTTACCCTCCTGCGGCTGCCTCCTTTAAATCACACTCTCACAATAACATCTTTGTTTGTTCTTTTCACTTATACAGACACCTATACAGTGCCTTGCAAAATTATTCATCCCCCTTGGCGTTTTTCCTATTTTGTTGCATTACAACCTGTAATTTAAATGGATTTTTATTTGGATTTCATGTAATGCACATAAACAAAATAGTCCAAATTGGTGAAGTGAAATGAAAAAAGAAATTCTAAAAAAGAAAGAACGGAAAAGTGGTGCGTGCACATGTATTCACCCCCTTTGCTATGAAGCCCCTAAATAAGATCTGGTGCAACCAATTACCTTCAGAAGTCACACAATCAGTTAAATAAAGTCCACCTGTGTGCAATCTAAGTGTCATATGATCTGTCTCAGTATATATACACCTGTTCTGAAAGGCCCCAGAGTCTGCAACACCACTAAGCAAGGGGCACCACCAAGCAAGCGGCACCATGAAGACCAAGGAGCGCTCCAAACAGGTCAGGGACAAAGTTGTGGAGAAGTACAGATCAGGGTTGGGTTATAAAAAAATATCAGAAACGATGAATATCCCACGGAGCGCCATTAAATCCATTATTAAAAAAATTGAAAGAATGTGGCACCACAACAAACCTGCCAAGAGAGGGCCGCCCACCAAAATTCATGGCCCAAGCAAGGAGGGCATTAATCAGAGAGGCAACAAAGAGACCAAAGATAACCCTGAAGGAGCTGCAATGCTCCACAGCGGAGATTGGAGTATCTGTCCATAGGACCACTTTAAGCCGTACACTCCACAGAGCTGGGCTTTACGGAAGAGTGGCCAGAAAATAGCCATTGCTTAAAGAAAAAAATAAGCAAACACGTTTGGTGTTTGCCAAAAGGCATGTGGGAGACTCCCCAAACATATGGAAAAAGGTACTCTGGTCAGATGAGACTAAAACTGAGCTTTTTGGCCATCAAGGAAAACGCTAGGTCTGGCGCAAACCCACCTCTATTCACCCTGAGAACACCATCCCCACAGTGAAGCATGGTGGTGGCAGCATCATGCTGTGGGGATGTTTTTCCATCGGCAGGGACTAGGAAACTGGTCAGAATTGAAGGAATGATGGATGGCGCTAAATACAGAGAAATTCTTAAGGGAAACCTCTTTCAGTCTTCCAGAGATTTGAGACTGGGATGGAGGTTCACCTTCCAGCAGGACAATGACCCTAAGCATACTGCTAAAGCAACACTCAAGTGGTTTAAGGGGAAACATTTAAATGTCTTGGAATGGCCTAGTCAAAGCCCAGACCTCAATCCAATTGAGAATCTGTGGTATGACTTAAAGATTGCTGTACACCAGCGGAACCCATCCAACTTGAAGGAGCTGGAGCAGTTTTGCCTTGAAGAATGGACAAAAATCCCAGTGGCTAGATGTTCCAAGTTTATGGAGACATACCCCAAGATACTTGCAGCTGTAATTGCTTTGAAGGGTGGCTCTACAAAGGGGGGGGGGGGGTGGGGGGTTAATAGTTATGCACGCTCAAGTTCTGTTTTTGTGTCTTATTTATAAAAAGTATTTTGCATCTTCAAAGTGGTAGGCATGTTGTGTAAATCAAATGATACAAACCCCCCAAAAAATCAATTTTAATTCCAGGTTGTAAGGCAACAAAATAGGAAAAAATGCCAATGGGGGTGAATACTTTGGCAAGCCACTGTACATCCAGCACCATACCAGTGTCTGTATAAGTGGGGAAAAAACAAGGATGTTCTGTATTAAAAAAGATAAGAAAACCCCCTATGATGTCATCAATGATTTTGTTATATGACGTCAAAAAGTGGTGAAGTGTCCCTTTTAACTGGCCAATTTCAACAAGCTACAGATTATGGGGAAAATCCTAATTTCCACTGAAGTGGAATTTTCACTAAGTCATGCATTGATTTCAGTGGGAGACTAAGTGAAAATTTGACTTAAGTGGAATCTAGGATTCACCCCTATAGGATTCATACATACAATAATTATAAACAAAAAAACTGCACTTCAATGTTCTTTTGTTAGTTAAAAATATATATATTTTCAGATAAAAACCAATTTCCCTTCCACTTCACAATGCTACCACTTTTCAATAATGAGAACTTTTGGGGCGTTTTGATCAAAAGTTAATTATTAATATCCTTTTCTGTAACACTTGACATCACTGCCTTTATTACTATGTAAGTATAAATGTAATTACAGTGTAAAAGTATTGTAATTAATTATTTTTACACTATAAGTACATTGTAAGGTTAGGGTTACTTCAAGTAGTTTACAGTGCAATCCCTTATGAAAAAACAATTGTAGTCAGAGTGCAGTATAACTGCAGTACACTGCTGTATAACGGCAGTTAGAGTGCAAAATAACTGCATTATGCTGCAAATACTGCATCCAAAATAACACTTTTTTGATGCAGTAATTTTGCAGTTTGACTGCAGTTACAGTGCAATTACTGTATCCAAACTACCACAGTCCACTGCAGTTACTGCACTTTTACTGCAGTTTCAAAACTGCAATCTTTTTTTGTAAGGCATTACAGTGTAAGACTGAATAGTGTGTGTGTGAATAAATACATTTAATACACGGTAATAAGTGCACTGTAATGTAAACTGTTTTCTTAACATGTATTTGTTCAAATGCCTGCAAGATGCACCAAATGCAACAATTGCAACAAGAAAATATATATTTTAGTTTTCTATTCTTGTTGTGAATGTTCCCCACAATTTTAAATCCTAACGGCTGAATACCGTCCTTTGACTCACTAAACAATTTCAAATATGTTGCCATTTGTTGGTGCAGAATACATACCCGATGCTGTGTTCGGAGATATGTCCATACAGAAGCACATAGATCAGTGCGCACACGGCGACCACCAGCGCCAAGGGTAAAACTCCCCAGAACCGGGCTGTCATTTCCAACAGAGAGAAAGAGGATCTACCTAGGTACACTGAAGACGGACTATAACAATATTTTTAAAGAAGTATTTGGTCGTTGTGGGATGCACTGAACTGTTTTGCCTCTCTCCTGCCTTTTTGGCCACTTGCCAGGTTTCACAGGCGTGCCTGTCATGGACCATGGTGTGTAACGATGATAAAGAAAATAGGTTGGTTGATACACCTTTGTAATTTTACCTCTCAATCACTACTGTACTTCCGACACCCCAAAGAGCGGTCCTCAAATTAAAGTTAAAGTAATCTTTATTCATCCTTAATAATAATGTTTCGCAGTATTTAAAACCTTTATGGCTTTCAAAAGCAAAACAAAACACATTACAAAAAGCAAAGCACAATATAATGAATATAGGCGCGGCAGACGGTTTGATTGGGATTAGGCTACTGTGTGACTAACTAACTAATAAACAGTGGTGGAAAAAGTACCCAATTGTCATACTTGAGTAAAAGTAAAGATACCTTAACCAGTTTCAAACTTAGTGTAAAAAGTATGCAGTATAAATGCAGTAAGTATGCAACTCTGCCACAGCTTTGATTTCTGTCTGTAAATGAAAAGGGCTCTACATATAAAATGTGTTATTATTATTATTATTATTATTATAGGCATTTAGTCACAGATGACATTGCCAGCCACACGTGCACACACAGGGGAGAAGACAAAATCCAGAATTGACACAATGATGACGCCATTACTTGTATCAAATACACAGTGTTTATTGCTTTGAATGGTATATAAAAGTAATAAACAGCAGAAGCCATATTGGAGTATCTAATGTACATGTTTGTGTTCGCGCCAATGATGTGTTTATTTAAACACAGGGGTCTAGAGGGAGAGGGTGAGAGAAGGATACAGCCGAGGGAAGGTAGGGAATAGCTGAAAGGAGGAAGGTACGTTCAGATAAGTGTTTGTTGTGAGGCTTGCTGAAACTGTTGTCTTTCATGGGTGTGTACGGTATAAGAACATCTTAGATCGTATCAGACCAATCAAATCACTCAGGTCCAACTATCCAAAGCCTGATTAGCTATCGCCTCAGAATCTTTAGAGAAGAGTACGTGCCTCAAAATAGAGCGGACCATTGAAACAACACCCCCTTTGAAACCCAGGGGACCATGTGAATGCACCTTAATCTTGATTGTCGGTTTTATGTGGGATTAACATAGAGTAGAGTTTGGGGAAAGTAGTAGACTAGGGGTTTAGATGGAGTAGAGTCTGAGTTGCTCCTCCACGTCTCCCTCTGACACCTCCCCAAACGTCTCCTGGTTCTCCTTCAGCAGCTGGAAGATGGCTGCCAGCTGCTCCTGTTGCACCCTTGGAAAAACACACAGGTAAACAAATCTGAGTCTCCACTCTGCTGCCCTCACCTGGCCAATGATAGAGATAGAGCCCAGAGCGACAGAGGCTGGTTTTTAAACATTTACGTCATTTAGCAGACGCTCTTATTCAGAGCGACTTAAACAAACTCTAGTCTACATACATGCACAGATGGTTAACGACAAGTGGTTCATGATAAAAATTCTGAACCTAGGTCAGCAAAGCTAGATGACGGTACAGCCCAGATAGAAAAAGCTATACGGACACTCCTTATCTGCAAACCAACATTTAATTTCAGAATTGGTTAAAATTAGGTTAAGGTTATGTTTTGGATTTTGGTTGTTCGTTTTGCAGGTCATCAGTGTCTTTATAGTCTCTCCCAACCCAGCTAAGAAACACAGAACAGTGAATATGGTGTGAGCAAAATCTGGCCTGCGGTCTGAGGTGATCACTAGAGACACACAGGTGACAGTTAAGTCCCAATCAACCCCTTGGAAAGTAATAAAGGGAATATTTTATTTTTTAAAGGGTATGTGTGTATATATATATATATATATATATATATGTATGTATATGCATATATGTATGTATGTATATATATATATATATATGCGAGAGAAAAAAAGCATATGGGGGATTGGAAGTGATGCAGACAATTACATTGATGGAACCTACAATCTATCTGCAATATTAAAGCTGATCTACCCCCTATAAAAAAAAATAAGAAAAAAACAACAACAAAAAAACAATCAACACCTTACCTACCACTGAGAAACACCTGATTTGTACTCAACACCTGGGAACCATGGCAACGGCCTCAGGGGAGCTGGGGGGATGGAGCAGGGAAGAGGAAGAGGAGGAGGAGGGGGGCTGCATCCATGTGGTGTTGGTTTGAGGAGCATGAAGGACATGGGTATATGGGACGGGGGCAGGGGACTAGATGGTAGGTCACTAGATGGTAGGTCACTAGATGGTAGGTCACTAGATGGTAGGTCACTAGATGGTAGGTCACTAGATGGTAGGTCACTAGATGGTAGGTCACTAGATGGTAGGTCACTAGATGGTAGGTCACTAGATGTCCATGCTAGAAAAGACAATGGGCTTCAAAACGGAATACCTTTGAAAATACCTTTGCTTTTTGGTGTCAGTTTAGATTAGATTAAGTTTCAAAATCACATCGGAGGTTAGAGTTTAAGCACATCCATCCGTCCTAGCATGGTCAGGCAATGACGTCGCTAATGAATTAGGGCAAATGATTTGTTCATACTTTACCATGCTTTTACTACAACCCCTGTCTGTCTGCATGTCTGTCGGTCTGTCCGAGGGTCTTACAGAGAGGTAAAGTCAGTGGTGAACTCTACCCTGCAGAAATAAACAGCAGGACACAGATGTTACAGACAAGACACCATGCCTGGGTGGGTCTCTGAATAGGAAGCCTGGGTTTCTGCTGGAGTAAAACACTGATCCAAGGTCTGATTTGTGTTTCTCCCACAACTCGTGGGGGGGGTTTCTTTCTTTCTTTCTTTCTTTCTTTCTTTCTGATCCCTGGTCAGTCCTAAGTCCCCAGTGGTGCCGTGGATAGAAGCAACTGCTAAGCAAAGTCACCTCACAGAGACAACACTCACTGACACACACTGACGCTTGGAGAGAGGGAGAGGGGCTGTAAGGTAGAAGAGGACACTGGACAGGAGAGGGTTAAACTGAGTTGGAAAGACTATTTACAGTGACCGTGTCCGAAATCTGTCTTGCCTACTAAATCTGAAAACTACATACTGTGTACTAATCGTACTACATAGTATTTAGAACATACTTTTTAGTAAAAATGTATGCAGTAAGCAACAAAGATGAACATTCTAAGCTCATCCATACTGAGAAGGCGTCATGTAATGCATAATCGCGCTAGTTCCCCCGCCACTTGTTCATTTTGGTAGAGCGCATCCACTATTCTGATAATAAGCTGTTGTCAAACGCACGTGGGTCTCAAAAGACGATTGTCTTCCTCAATAGTGTGAAGCAAATTCTACTAGATGAAAATCTGAAATGAGTATGGCATCCTGGCATTTAAAGTATACTACATTTTCGAAATCTCACATCCTATAAAACTTTATATTTTCGCATACCCAAAAAGCCTACTATTTAGAACGCAAGTATGGGTATTCGGGTACGGCCAGTTACTGCTGGTAAGCAGAGGCACTTAAATAAGTGGAAAGGAGAGGAGAATAGCAGAGGAAGCCACGTCAGAGTATTGAGATGCTGCCCAGTCCAGCACTGACCTCTGTTCCTCCTCCAGCTCCTCTTTGGTTATCATCTTCTTCATCTGGCTGGTCCGGGGGGCGTATTTCATGGGCGCATGTTCTGCGTCCACTTCTTCCATATCTGCTGAGAGAAAAATAATCAGTTGGTGCTGTTGGAATCACAGTGGTCAGTCACCAGCCCTACTCCTGAAGAGCTACATGTTATGCAGGCTTTTATTCCAGCCAACACTAACACACCTGACTCTACTGATCAACTGATCACCAAGGCCTTGATTAGCTGAAATCAGGTGTGTTTTTGCTAGGCTGAAACAAAAGCTGGCACATTGTGTAGGTCAATGGCACCGAAGTTGGTGGCCACTGCTCCATCCACAGTGATTAAAGCATTACATTCTGACCAGACCGCTTGCACGTGCGCCATCGCGTGCATGTTGATTTTGTCCACAAACACCAGACGCGATCAGGACACGCAGGTTGAAATATCAAAACGAACTCTGAACCAACTATATTAATTTGGGGACAGGTCGAAAAGCATTAAACATTTATGTCAATTTAGCTAGATAGCTTGCTGTTGCTAGCTAATTTGTCCTGGGATATAAACATTGGGTTGTTATTTTACCTGAAATGCACAAGGTCCTCTACTCCGACAATTAATCCACAGATAAAAGGGTAAACCGAGTTTGTTTCTAGTAATCTCTCCTCCTTCAGGCTTCTTCTTCTTTGGACTTTATATGGCGGTTGGCAACCAACTTTAAGGTGCATTACCACCACCAACTGGACTGGAGTGTGGACCTCAGTTCATCTTTCAATCACCCACGTGGGTATATGCTCCTAAAAACCAGTGAGGAGATGGGAGAGGCGGGACTTGCAGCGCGTCAAGTGTCACAAATAGAACCAAGTTCTATTATAGTGCCTGGCTACGCAAACGCTCGTTGACGCACGCGAGCAGTTTGGATGAAATGATTGAATAACATGTATGTGTAGATTTATTTTGCAACGCTCGCGCACGCGACGCGAGCGGTGTGGTCAGCATGTTAGCTTACTCACAGTTGCTGTCCTCCGGGCTCTCTGTGGCGCCCCCTGTCTGTTGGTGGGAGAAAGGACACAGTAATGACCACCCCTCAGGGAACTGTAGGTGACCAAAGTCTCTTCCTTGAATGTCCACCGCCGCTGAGGCAGGGTTTGAGGTCCAGCACTGTTGGTCAGACTGTCAGAGATTAAGAGAGAGAGGAAGAGAGACAGAGAGAGATGGAAGAGAGACAGAGAGAGAGGAAGAGAGACAGAGAGAGAAGAAGAGAGACAGAGAGAGGGGAAGAGAGACAGAGAGGAAGAGAGACAGAGAGAGATCGAAGAGAGACAGAGAGAGAGGAAGAGAGACAGAGAGAGATCGAAGAGAGACAGAGAGAGAGGAAGAGAGACAGAGAGAGATGGAAGAGAGACAGAGAGAGATGGAAGAGAGACAGAGAGAGATGGAAGAGAGACAGAGAGAGAGGAAGAGAGACAGCGAGAGATGGAAGAGAGACAGAGAGAGATGGAAGAGAGACAGAGAGAGAGGAAGAGAGACAGAGAGAGATGGAAGGAGAAAGTGAGGTTGAGAAACATTGGACTCCGGGCCGGCTCCAGGCACAAGCAGCATAAGTGGTCGCTTACGGAAATGTGTTATAAAATTGCAAAGATTTATCTCCGCCCAATGGCAAAATGTGTAGAACTGCAGAAAACTTGCTTTAAAACTGCTACATTTTCTCTAAGCCCCATGGCAAAATGTGTCAAATTGCAGTAAATGTACTTTAAAACATATGTTTTTCTCTGCCATAGAGTGGAGCCACCATAGAATTACTAGCATGGACATGAACCTTCTTATGATGGGATAAAGGTCAGCCATTTCGGTCAAGGAGTTGGTCAACCATGATTTGCTAGTGCTTTGATAAGACGCTTATAAGAAATCCCGCTATGCCCTCCGACGAACCATCAAACAGGCAAAGAGTCAGTACAGGACTAAGATTGAATCGTACTACACCGGTCGGATGTGGCAGGGCTTGAAAACTATTACAGACTACAAAGGGAAGCACAGCCGCGAGCTGCCCAGTGACACAAGACTTCCAGACGAGCTAAACCACTTATATGCTCACTTCGAGGCAAGCAACATTGAAGCATGCATGTGAGCACCAGCTGTTCCGGATGACTATGTGATCACGCTCTCCGTAGCCGATGTGAGTAAGACTTTTAAGCAGGTCAACATTCACAAGGCCGCAGGGCCAGACGGATTACCAGGACGTGTACTCCGAGCATGTGCTGACCAACTGGCAAGTGTCTTCACTGACATTTTCAACATGTCCCTGACTGAGTCTGTAATACCAACATGTTTCAAGCAGACCACCATAGTCCCCGTGCCCAAGGACACTAAGATAACCTGCCTAAATGACTACCGACCCGTAGCACTGACGTCTGTAGTCATGAAGTGCTTTGAAAGGCTGGTCATGGCTCACATCAACACCATTATCCCAGAAACCCTAGACCCACTCCAATTAGCATACCGCCCCAACAGATCCACAGATGATGCAATCTGCCCTTTCCCACCTAGACAAGAGGAACACCTACGTGAGAGTGCTATTCATTGACTACAGCTCAGCATTCAACCCCATAGTGCCCTCAAAGCTCATCACTAAGCTAAGGATCCGGGGACTAAACACCTCCCTCTGCAACTGGATCCTGGACTTCCTGACGGGCCGCCCCCAGGTGGTAAGGGTAGGTAACAACACATCTGCCACACTGATCCTCAACATGGGGGCCCCTCAGGGGTGCGTGCTCAGTCCTCTCCTGTACTCCCTGTTCACCCATGACTGCATGGCCAGGCACGATTCCAACACCATCATTAAGTTTGCCGACGACACAACAGAGGTAGGCCTGATCACCGACAACGATGAGACAGCCTATAGGGAGGAGGTCAGACACCTGGCCGTGTGGTGCCAGGATAACAACCTCTCCCTTAACGTGACCAAGACAAAGGAGATGATTGTGGACTACAGGAAAAAAAAAAGAGGACTGAGCACGCCCCCATTCTCATCGACAGAGCTGTAGTGGAACAGGTTGAGAGCTTCAAGTTCCTTGGTGTCCACATCACCAACAAACTATCATGGTCCAAACACACCAAGACAGTCGTGAAGAGGGCACAACAAAGCCTATTCCCCCTCAGGAGACTGAAAAGATTTGGCATGGGTCCTCAGATCCTCAAAAAATTCTACAGCTGCACCATCGAGAGCGTCCTGACTGGTTGCATCACCACCTGGTATGGCAACTGCTCTGCCTCCGACCACAAGGCACTACAGAGGGTAGTGTGTACGGCCCAGTACATTACTGGGGCCAAGCTTCCTGCCATCCAGGACCTCTATACCAGGCGGTGTAAGAGGAAGGCCCTCAAAATTGTCAAAGACTCCAGCCACCCTAGTCATAGACTGTTCTCTCTGCTACCGCACGGCAAGCGGTACCGGAGTGCCAAGTTTAGGTCCAAAAGACTTCTCAACAGCTTCTACCCCCAAGGCATAAGACTCCTGAACAGCTAATCATGACTACCCGAACTATTTGCACTGCCCTTTTTACGCTGCTGCTACTCTGTTAATTATTTATGCATAGTCACTTTAACTCTACCCACATGTACATATTACCTCAACTAGCCGGTGCCCCCGCACATTGACACTGCACCGGTACCCCCCTGTACAGTGAGGGAAAAAAGTATTTGATCCCCTGCTGATTTTGTACGTTTGCCCACTGACAAAGAAATGATCAGTCTATAATTTTAATGGTAGGTTTATTTGAACAGTGAGAGACAAAATAACAACAACAAAATCCAGAAAAACACATGTCAAAAATGTTATAAATTCATTTGCATTTTAATGAGGGAAATAAGTATTTGACCCCCTCTCAATCAGAAAGATTTCTGGCTCCCAGGTGTCTTTTATACAGGTAACAAGCTGAGATTAGGAGCACACTCTTAAAGGGAGTGCTCCTAATCTAAGCATGTTACCTGTATAAAAGACACCTGTCCACAGAAGCAATCAATCAATCAGATTCCAAACTCTCCACCATGGCCAAGACCAAAGAGCTCTCCAAGGATGTCAGGGACAAGATTGTAGACCTACACAAGGCTGGAATGGGCTACAGGACCATCACCAAGCAGCTTGGTGAGAAGGTGACAACAGTTGGTGCGATTATTCGCAAATGGAAGAAACACAAAAGAACTGTCAATCTCCCTCATCCTGGGGCTCAATGCAAGATCTCACCTCGTGGAGTTGCAATGATCATGAGAACGGTGAGGAATCAGCCCAGAACTACACGGGAGGATCTTGTCAATGATCTCAAGGCAGCTGGGACCATAGTCACCAAGAAAACAATTGGTAACACACTACGCCGTGAAGGACTGAAATCCTGCAGCGCCCGCAAGGTCCCCCTGCTCAAGAAAGCACATATACAGGCCCGTCTGAAGTTTGCCAATGAACATCTGAATGATTCAGAGAAAAACTGGGTGAAAGTGTTGTGGTCAGATGAGACCAAAATCGAGCTCTTTGGCATCAACTCAACTCGCCGTGTTTGGAGGAGGAGGAATGCTGCCTATGACCCCAAGAACACCATCCACACCGTCAAACATGGAGGTGGAAACATTATGCTTTGGGGGTGTTTTTCTGCTAAGGGGACAGGACAACTTCACCGCATCAAAGGGACGATGGACGGGGCCATGTACCGTCAAATCTTGGGTGAGAACCTCCTTCCCTCAGCCAGGGCATTGAAAATTGGTCATGGATGGGTATTCCAGCATGACAATGACCCAAAACACACGGCCAAGGCAACAAAGGAGTGGCTCAAGAAGAAGCACATTAAGGTCCTGGAGTGGCCTAGCCAGTCTCCAGACCTTAATCCCATAGAAAATCTGTGGAGGGAGCTGAAGGTTTGAGTTGCCAAACATCAGCCTCGAAGCCTTAATGACTTGGAGAAGATCTGCAAAGAGGAGTGGGACAAGATCCCTCCTGAGATGTGTGCAAACCTGGTGGCCAACTACAAGAAACGTCTGACCTCTGTGATTGCCAACAAGTCATGTTTTGCAGAGGGGTCAAACACTTATTTCCCTCATTAAAATGCAAATCAATTTATAACATTTTTGACATGCGTTTTTCTGGATTTTTTTGTTGTTATTCTGTCTCTCACTGTTCAAATTATCATACCATTAAAATTATAGACTGATCTTGTCTTTGTCAGTGGGCAAACGTACAAAATCAGCAGGGGATCAAATACTTTTTTGCCTCACTGTATATATAGCCTCCCTACTGTTATTTTTTTTTTTTTACTTCTGCTCTTTTTTTGTCAACACTTTTTTGTTGTTGTTTTATTTTACTTTTTTTATAAAAAAATTAATGCATTGCTGGTTAGGGGCTGTAAGTAAGCATTTCACTGTAATGTCTACACCTGTTGTATTCGGCGCATGTGGCCAATACAATTTGATTTGATATTGTGTAAAATAATGAATTTGAAGAATGTATCTGCACCGTATGTTTGTTAACTAGCTAGCCAGACAGGAATGATTCAATAAATGTTTTAAATTAACTGCCAATATGCCAACATTCCATTCAAACATTGTAGTCAATCCACAGCCATACACTGACTGAAATCAGTTGATGATAGGACAAAGACAAGTTGTATATGCCACAAGTGCTGAATTTGCGTCATATAATAGCACTCACAGCTTTCCAAAAAACTCAAATTGAGACATTTATGGTATGTTAACATATATTTTAGAGGCTATTTATACAGACATTTTGTATAAAACCCACTCAAACTGTACTTATAATTATGACAATATTTTAGGTTGACAATTTTATTACACCATTTCTGATATATCACATCTTACTAAAATCAGGATTATGCCTCTACTGCCATTCATTCCAAGTAGACTGGTTTGGATTTCTCCCTGACCAATATGGCTGGCATTTTCACACCATTCTGGAACTTTGAGGGTTTATGACATAGCCCCTCTAGTAATTTAATTCATTGGTTGCACGTTGCATCAAAATATTGTTTTGAACATTCGTTTTAGGACTGATGCTCAACTGAGCATTCTATTCAATGCATCCTCATTGGGCGCTGATGAAGATTTGGTCTAAAGTGCATTACTGTGGCTTGAAAACACAATTACCTTTTATTTTTTTTAAGGGGTTGTACCTCAATATTAGGAAGGTGTTCCTAATGTTTTGTATGTAAAGTGTATGTGATCATATACAAATCCTGTTTTTTTCTGCATAGAAAAGTCTTGGGCGGGCTGCCTAAGTGTTATTTCGAGCTGCCTATGTCCCCAAAAATTATTTTTTTAAATCAAAAATTGGAATGGAAAAACATGTTCAGTTTAAACTTAAACGACTAAACCCAGATATAAAGTATGTAAAGCTAACAATCAACAAAATAAAAGCTAGAAAGTCAGAGAATCTAAAATTTTTAAAATGATGCATTCAGGAGTATTTTTGGCATGGCATGGGGGCCTCCATTGATTTTGTTATAATGTTTGAGTCACTCGGATAGCATAAATTAGCATTAAAACAAATTTCTCTCTCAGCCTCATGGCAAAATGTCATGGAAAGAGCATGAGTTCTTAATGTTTTGTATACACAGTGTATATCTCTCTATGCATGGGAATACTTTGGAACAGATTTCCAAAATTTAAATCACTTGGACTTTTTAATTTTTTTTTGCTCAGAAAACTTGGGGGATCAAATAAAATCACCCGCGTGCCAAATTCGGCCTTCGGGAACCCTGGACTAGACCATCCTATATGTTGTGCTGCTGAAGTATTTTCATGCCAGTCAAAGCCTGTGTTGTGTAAATCAATTACATAGCTCATGCTCCCTTTCTCTTTCCGTCTCTCCAAGTTGCTGACAGCCGACTGTTTCTTCTCAGTATCTATGGTGATGGTTCAGCCAGTCTGACACAGTGGACTGGACTGCCACCCACTGTGCACTTCAGCAAATCATTGAGGCATGCTTGTAGGCTACTTGCAGCAAGGCATGGCTCATTAAATTAGAGGTACTCTACCAGATAAATATGACATTTGTGATGTATTGGCCTCGGCTCTGTAGCCTATCTGTGTGATCATGTAATTTAGTTGGCTGTGCAGCAAATAGGGTCACCTTGGTTCAAAAGCTGCCTATCATGCGTCTTACCTGCAATACCTTCCTGACCAAGGTGAGAAACGGTGTATTCTGATAATATATCAATAATATTATAATCAAACATATTAGATAGGCTACTAATACAGAACATTATATTACCATAATGCCAGATTTAATATTTTCCTCGTTCGTGGCATCATGGATCCTAACTTCAGCAGCGTGCAGCCCCTCCTCCCCAACTGTCCTTCTGTCTGCTGCCACCGGGTCCGTTATCTTCCCCACGAATCGGCGTTGACTGTCCTCCTCCGGTTTGTTCGTAGAGGTTAGCCCTGCTACTGTCCCCTGTTGCTCCGTAAGATTTACCGACGGTCCTGTTTTAACTAATCCGGCTTTTACCTCCTCTCTCACGGACTGCGCCAAAGAGCCCTCCTCCCCTGAGTGATCTGCTTTGGATGCAGCAGAGCCAGAGGACGAGGCAGAGGCAGTAGAATCGTTGTTACTGAACAATGTAGTCACCAGAATAATAGTAAGAAACGTGAAGAGAATAAGCAATATAAAACTAAATTCCATTGTTGCTGACAGAAAGCGTGTTGACTTTTCAAGTCAGCAAAATATGATCTATTTATCCTATTGTCTAATATTTTTGTCTGTTATTTAAAAAAAAAGTAGTCTCTACCGCTTAGCCTATACCGGAGAAATACCGTTAAATAAGATCACTCATGTGATAGTCAGTAGCAGTTTGCCTCCCCGCATCCCGATGGCTTTGTTGCTGTAATATTACCGACAAACTTGTACACTAGCGTAGCTCCGAATGTATGGCGCTTTCTAGACTACTGGTAGCTCGTATGAAACTGGTCAAATCAGGACGTCAGTCGGAAAGACGGAACTCTAGAAAGACGCCCAAATTTCCGCCTTGGAATTCCGAGTTGGATGACCGTTGAAAACGATTTTACCCAGTCGGAGCAAAAAAAAATTCTCCGAGTTCCCAGTTGTCATGGACGCACTGAAAACGGATACATCCGAGTTCCCAGTTGTTTTGAACGCGACAAAGGTCGTAGAAAAAAAGATGCTTTGACCACGGTGACACGCCTCGAAAGGAAACGTAATTTCCTCCATCGCTCGTGAGGGAGTTATATTAACCTGAGATGCAGTGCACCAGTCTATGGCCCGTTACGGTGAACGGCCAAAAGCGGTGAAATAAGAGCGCACTTCGTCCTTGGGACGTCCCTAACTTTAACCTCTACCCGTACCTTAAGCATAACCGTAACCATTTTAAATGTCAACTTTAATGGTGTAGGGACTTCCCAAGGATCCCAGATAGCACGGACCCTTCTCAAATCTAACAATCTGCACAGCTCAATCATGTTGTCAACAAGCACTGGAGTGGCACACACCCCCGCAAGACGACCTCCAGATAGCATAATGACACATCATTAGCAATAAATAAAAATATTACAGGAAATTAGCTTTTTCTCTATGCCTCATGGCAGAATGTGTAGAATAGCAGGAAATCAGTGATTCTTGAAAGTCGGGACAATCCTTGACTGGCAGGGAACTTTTTTTAAATAGTTTTTTTTAAAAAGGATTTTGTTGCATTATTCAAGGTAAAACATTTACATTTAGTGGAAATTTATAAGGAAAAATATTTGTTTTGGGAATTTTCTAAATACTTGCAATATTTATCATTTCCATGTCGGCTCTATGCCTGGAAATGCCCTTGTCCGGAGCAAAGGATCCCAATTTCAAACTCCCAAAAAGTGCTTAAAATTCTAAAAACGGGCAAAAATGGATATTAAAGGGATACTTCGGGATTTTGGCAATGAGGCCCTTTATCTGCTTCCCTAGAGTCAGATGAACTCGTGGATACAATTTTTATGTCTCTGCGTGCCGTTTGAAGGAAGTTGCTAACTAGCGCTAGCGTTAGCATAATGACTGGAAGTCTATTGGATCTGCTCATAGACTTCCAGTCATTGCACTGAAATCATTGCGCTGTTGTCAACTCCTAAATTAATCAGGAATGAGCAGGGTCAGCTATAAGGACCCCTTCTTCATGTCCTCATTACATGTAGTGCAACAAGACCACTCGTGGTCTGTAAAGGTCTCTACTTTTGATAGATTTAAACAAACAATATTGGAATCACCATGGTCACAACCATAAACTGTCAACTCCATCTGCCTGATAGATTAAAAGAAAATATGAATTTTGGTTCAAAGATGTTACATTTGATTCTGTAAAACAACAACTCCTGCATATTTCTGTCTAATATCAACTCCGTCAGAGTGCTGAAAGATCTGACAAAATGGCTGTTTTTACTGGGGATTTTCAAATGAATCATTTTCCATATTTTACAAATGTTTAGTTTTAGAGGCAAAAATATGTCTGTTTTGAGTATGTGTTGTCAACTCCATCAGTGGCCTGTCAACTCCGTAACTGATGGCTAACCCCATTAAAGATATATATTTTTGTCAATATTCTGAAATAATATTGTCATTACTGTTCTGCAACATATGCTTAAACAATCGAAGTATTTGCTGTGCTAGACTTAAGGGATAATGTTTGCTTTATAAATGTTGTTTTATGTTCTAAATCTAGAAAAACTAATTCCCAAATGCCAACGACATTATCCCTGGAGCATTTAATAGTGCTATAAAACAAAACAAGAAGTCTAGAGATTTGTATTATGTATTTGAATAATCTGTTAGAATTAAACAATGAAGGCCTTTAAAAACTTGGACAATAACTGTACAAATTAAATCCCTTTTATGGTGTCTGTTGACAAATCCAATTAGTTGCATTTTATGAAGAAAAATAAATTACAAAGTTGTTCCTTTACATGGTGTGATAGCTGATACTTTGGTCTATCAAAATATATAATTTAAATTGTTGGAGTTCACTCCTCCAACCTTAAGACAAATATTTCATATAGGATTGTCCCTTTCAAGAATCCCTGAGCTCTAAAACAGCAACATTTTCTCTCAGCCAACTGAACAACGCCACTGTCAACAAGGCAGCATGGTGCATCCTTCAAAAACATATTTTCCATAAAATGTTTGAATTTTCAAACTAGCTTTCATTGGGAGGGCAGATGAAGTGTTTATCAAAAGCAATCACTTTTGCATGTGAAAACACAAAATCCTACTCATTACTCCACGTAATTATGGCGCTTGCAAGACAACTGGAAACTGAAAAAAATAATCATGACGTTTGATCTTCAGGTCATAAAGTTGGAGCTCTAGAAAGACGCCAGATTGACTTGGAATTCCGAGTTGGATGACCGTTCAAAACGATTTTTACCCAGAGTTCCCAGTTGTCGTGAACGCACTGAAGTCGGGAGATTCTCCAAGTTCCCAGTTGTTTTGAACGTGGCAATATGTGGTTAGCTGATATGTTAAATACCTATCCAGGAGTTGTAAGATCTGGCAGGCGTCAGCAATGGCTGGGCAGAGGAACACACCCATGATGTGGTTAGCTGATGTGTAAAATACCTATCCCAGCGTTTCCCAAAATCGGTCCTCGGGACCCCAAGGGGTGCACGTTTTGGTTTTTGCCCTAACACTACACAGGTGAGATCGGGCAAGGGTCAGTGATGCCTAGGCAGTGGAAAGCTTTACCCTAGCAGAACCAAAACAAACAGGGACCGGATATAGGGTGACCATTACGTTGCAAGCTTCTCACTTACGCGCTTTACAGGTAGCATGGCATACTTTTGACTGAGAGCATAGCCTGTGGGTATAGAGCAGGGTTATTCAAATCACACCACAGTCTGGAGCCTGCTCTTCTTCTGTTCTACCTGATAATTAAATTGCACCCACCTGGTGTGCCAGGTTGAAAGCAGTCACCTGATTAGAGGGGGAAATGGAAAAAGCAGTGAACACTGGTTTCGAAGTCCAGATTTAAGTTTGAATCGAGGGGGTATGCAGTCGGTTCTCAAACCTCTCTTCAGGGACCAAGGGGTTTCACAATTCTGTTGTAGCCTTGAATTAGCTTACCTGACTCACCTAATCATGAGCTTGATAATGAGTTGACAAGTAGAATTAGGTGTGCTGGTGCTGGAATAGCTCAAATACATAGAACAGCTGGGGGTCCCACAGGAGAGGTTTGAGAACCACAGGAGAGGAAGCACTGTCTTATGCATATTAAAAGAATGCGTCTCTCAATACTTAGGTACATAAGATGTTATGTCTGTAGGCCTATAGATGTTTAATGGAAGATTAGCCAAGGGGATCTTCCACTGAGTTGCGCAGTGGTCTAAGATCCTGGTTCGAATCCAGGCTCTGTCGCAGCCGGCCGCGACCGGGAGACTCATGGGCGGCGCACAATTGGCCCAGCGTCGTCCAGGGTAGGGGAGGGAATGGCCGGCAGGGATGTAGCTCAGTTGATAGAGCATGGCGTTTGCAACGCCAGGGTTGTGGGTTCGATTCCCACGGGGTGCCAGTACAAAAAAAATATGTATTCACTAACTGTAAGTCGCTCTGGATAAGAGCGTCTGCTAAATGACTAAAATGTAAATGGGATTGCTAATGACCATATTAAAATCAGTCAAATATTTGGTCAATAAGACCATCAGCTTCATTCAAGGTGTAGCAATACCATAATTGACTGATAATATTACAAACATGTTTTTCCATTTTCAGAAGCGTAGACTTGCTAAAATTGTAGTATACTGTATTAACTCAACATACGGAATCTCGTTTAAGTCACTTAATGTGTCTTGGCTAGCAGTGTGAAGGAGCCAAGACTGCATTATCGACAGGCTCTCATGAGATCTGCCCTAACGGTCCATAACAAAATAGTGAATCAAATTAACCACACAAAACAAATGTTTATTAGCATTCACCTAAAGCAGTTACAAGACATCTTGCGAGGGTACACAAAATGCACAGATTAATTTATCAAGCTAGTGGAATGCCCTTTATCAAACCCTCCTCTATCGAGCCATTAGACTCTTCCATCAACAATGTACAACCAGCTCACAACAGAGGGACTAAACCAGTTGGAGGGGGGGGGGGGTTAGGATAGCCTGGTGGAACCAGCTTGATCGAAAGAAAGTTAATCGCAGAGATCAGGCTGCTTCCACCAGGCTAGGGTTGGGATAGAGAGAAGGGGAAAGAGGAGTGTATTTGTACATCAGGAATGGGAAGAGACCATATGAGAACAACACAGGGGGAGAGATGGCATGATCAGAGATGATCAGATCTACCACCACAGCTGTGATCGATTCTTACAAACCAGAACAAGGCAGACGGCAGCAGTAGCACCAAGACGAGCGCCGGGCGACAACTGCACCGGGCACTCACCGGGTACCGCAACACCCCCGCCAGCCACTGCACTGCCACCTCACCATCATCAGCACTGCATCGCACCTTAACAGCTAACCAGCAATACTCAACTGCTACACAACTGCGCCTAGTGCACAAAAGATAAGAGAGGAGGGTTAGAATTCACAGGAAAGCAAACTTATAACAGAGTAACGACAAGAAAGAAAAAAAGACAGTATACACCTGCTAGGTCAGTTAACGAATTACATAACAGGTGACATTTGATACAATATTTGCTTTTTATTGTTCCTATTAATTTGCCTCTACGTGTTACTGGTTTTGCTTAGAAAAGAATGGAAATCATTTAGGGGCTAGTCACGCTCCCTTTGCTAAAATCAACTCTGCAAAAAAAATAACCAGTAACTCAAAAACCAGAATCCTTCTGTAGAGAATAAAACAACTAAATACAGGCTTCGGTTAAAAAGAAAAAAAAAGCTGTAGCTACTTCACAATAAAATAAAACAAGATCAAATCAAATCCATATGCAACAAACCAGCACTAACAATAAGACAAAATCCAGTATTCACCTCACAAAACCTTTAAACATGTCCTCAACTTTAGTCATCGGAGTTACATCGCATTGGTAAGTATATAGTAGTCTTTCTGGGCATAAATCATTTAAAACATTTTAGACCAAGTCGCAATAACCTTTTGGTCAGTATTCTATGGGGCGTAGAGAGGTGTCCACTGGCAGACTTATGATCTGGTTGGCATCCGCAGAGAAGAAGTCCCAATCGTATGTCATCTGGAAAGAAAAGACAAGCTGTGTTGGTGGAGGTCAAAGGATGGGCTGCTAGTTTGAGAACTGTTGATTATCTAGTTGTCAATCTAAAGTCAAATGTACAGATCGAAAACACCCCCTTTCAACCATTCCATCGAGGACTTGTCGGTTGGTTTTTAACATGTCAGTTGTCCATGTTACTGGTATAGAACTGACCCTTTCCCTTGTGGGTATGTAATAAGTTCCTAACAGCGTCAGTCCCCGTTGGTCGTCTTCACACTCCAAGGGCCCCCAACCCAAAGCTACCTCTCAATATGACCATTTTTATATTTTTTACTCAGGCATTTATTGGACAACAAACCTTGGGTCCTCCCTCCTTCACCAGTGAGACCACAGACACAGCGGTACAGCCAGCAGCATTCTGTCTGTGGTCCTGTGAAAGTTCCATACCTCACCACCACCTCACACCTCACCAACTGACAGCACGGACCACGCGTCGCCATTGACGACCTGCTCCATAGCAACTGCCATCGCCCCCACCAACTCAGCAACAGGCAGGTCACATGGGCGGGTCGCGTCACACCACTAACTGCTCTCACACTGCCATCTCTGTCACACCCCCACCTCTCTGTTTGACAAGAGGACCGCAGCTTGGAGGAGAGAATTCCACATTTAGGTAAACGAACGTTTGATTTTAGCACCCCGCCATAAATATAGCATATCTCAAAAAAAATTATAAGCCCATTTTATAAATATTGTAAACAATTTTAGACTACTTTACTCGTGACCTTCCATGTAGATAAAATCCTGATGTTGGCTGATGTGTCAGTTTGGTTGGATGTAAACCACACACCGTTGAATAAAAGCATTCAAGTGTGCAGATATCCAGCTTTATTTCCTGACTTTACTTTTGTACCCTGCATGTTACTTGATGTGTGTGCACTACTTTCTGAACTGGTTATAAAACCTAGTTTACAATCTTACAGTTTCCCCCTGCAACAACTTAGGGTCAGGATTCTGCAGTCTTGACTGGTACGCTGCAATGCTGGAGACTAAAACATCACTCGTTATCCGAGCCTGGCAAGGCTGCAGAACACTGTCCAACTGCATTTGAATTTAAACCTACCCTGTAGTCTGTCCTACACGCACCAAACCATCCTTATAAATATCTGTGATGGTCACACCCCCTCCTCCCCTTCCTTGTGTACCGTTTTAATGGGTCCGGGTTGGAGCTGTTGTTATTAAGAGTCGGTTCCGTTGTCCTCGGGGGACTTGGGCCTGCTCTTGGACCTCGACCTGGATTTGGAGCCTCTGTTGGAAGCCGGGCTGCGGGAGCGGGACCTGGAAGCTCCACGGGACCTGGATCGAGATGGGGACTTGCTCTTGCGAGGGGTGCGGGACTTGGAACGGGATCTAGAGTAGGAACGAGAACGGGAACGGCTGTAGTCACGGCCACGGCTGCGGGAGCGGCTCCTGCTCCGGGAACGACTGCGTCTGCGCCGACGGGGGCTGGCCGAACGACTGGGGGGAGAGGAGAAACATGGAGAAATGAACCGCAACGTGGGTTATACAAGTCCCTGTCTTTTTGCTAGAGTAATTACAGATTTGCGATTGCAACTTACAAACTCAACTGAAGACATGGTACCTTGCGAGCTACAAAAAGTAAACAAACTACTTAGCTAGCCGAAAACCTATGCAAATGCTTAACTTGCCAGCCAGTTAGCTTAGGTTTAAAGTAACTGTCCAATGAAAATCGCAATAATAAAAGTTCATATTCTGTTAACTCATACTCAAATAATATTGTTGACTCATCCTTTGATGTGGCCAAAGTATAAAATGAGAAACCCCACCTCAAAATTGTATCTCAAACAGACAACTAAAAAAACGATTGCAATTTCCTGAGGATGTCGTCATCTGACCAATCAGCGGTCTACTTGCATTAACATTTTTTATGAAGGTATATGCCCACACTATTCTGTTGGGGTACGCCCACACCATTCCAACACATGAAAGTTACTTTTTAACATACCGTCAAACTTCAATTAAAAAGCCTAATCTCAAATAGCCGCCTGTCCCTTTTAATAGCCGGGCAACGGCACATATTTCAGCAAATAAACGCCTGTTTCAAATAAACGCCTAGGTCTAAATTAATTGTTTACAAAGTTTGTTTGATTTGTTAAATAATTCAGTAATGACTTGAAAAAATTGCACTCATCCGATTTTAATGGGCAGTAAGAAACTGCTAGCCATTGGCTGCTAACAACTGAGAACGGCTAGTTAACTGGTAAGCACAAAAACATGGCAGATCGCCCTCTAGTGGCGAAAGGGAGAACTGCCGTAAATGCAGTCAAATAATGATTGTCAAGGATTTATTTTATAGCGACATACTAAGACAAAATAAACGTGACTGTGTAAATGATAACAGTACAGGAAATTAAGAAATGTATAAAAATGCTGGAAGTGAATGCTGGAATTAAACAATTAACTATACAAATGAGCAAAACCTGTGTGCGTTAAGGAAGTAGACACCATCTCTAATTAGCGCCTGTTGTGTTCAGTGACTTAAGCAAATAAAAGCCTGGGCTATTAATTGAAACGTCACCGTATTAAGTACCATTTTTTGGAAGATAAACTACTTCAGTAATATTTCATAGAAATGTGGAAACACTGGACAGTTACTTTAATTTGGTTAACCCATAATTAAATTGTGTAATTAGTCATTGCTCAATGTTTGTAATGTTAGATCTGTCAACAAGAGATTAACTTTGACTGAACTTGGCCAGTATCGTTGCTGTAGTTACAACAATTGTCAGTTACAATGTTTTTGATTCAAACTGAACCAATAACTTACCTCCTGCTCCTGCGACCATAGCCTCCGTGTCTCCTTGGGGGTCCACCGCCGCCTCGGCGCCCGAAGTGAGAGTCTGGTGGACGGCCATAGCGCGCCATCTGGACTCGCAGTTCCCGCCCGTCAAGCAAGGCCCCGTCCATCGCGTCCATCGCATCTTCAGCGTCGCGGTTATCATGGAACCGCACGAAGGCGAAACCACGGCTCTCCTTGGTGTACCGATCGCGGGGGATGTACACGTCTCCCACCCGGCCGTACTTCTCGAAAACTCGTCGTAGTGTCTCAGGAGAGGTCCTGTAGGTGAGATTGTCCACTTTGAGCGAGGTCATACCCTCGACATCGGGCGGGGGCCTTCCGTAGCTCATTTTTGCGCCTCAAAATTAAACCGACAGACGATTAAAAATCGAAAACAGGGCCTTGTACTCCGATTAAAATCGTTATTTTTTGTAAAATTCGATTTTGTTTAGCCGATTTCCAGGCCCACCTCACACCGTTCTCTTGGCTGCTTGCACGTGAAATGGCGGCACTTGAGCTTCCTTTTTCTGTGTGGGCTGGTGGGCGGGTTCAGAACTACTCCCAGTGCGCTACGGCGCCTCGTAGAGGACTGGAGTAGTAAAACAGTTAGAACGCTCACGGATCATGTCAGGATGGAAATAGCAACATTGTACAAGTTTATTTTACGCCTGCTACGTTAGGTTATACAAAATCAGACAGTTTGCGCATTATAGGCTGCAACGCTGTAGCCATCTAGCCTACGTGGTATGATATCAGTTTCTCATATTGTTTTATCACTGTTCAGTTTAGATACAAGCCTATACTTGCCAAATTGCCTATAAATAATTATGTGTGTAGCCTAAATTGATAGTCTATTTCTGTCCAAATTTCAAGGACACATTTGATTTGATAGATATATATATATAATTACGCAGCTCTACATGTCGTTGTAACAGTCACTATACATTGCATTATTAAGCCATCATCTGCTGCAGCATTGCAGTGATTCGTTCCCACATTTGGGGAAGGTCACGTTATAGCGAACCGGGAGCTGCCTGCCTGCTGAATTGTACTGCGCAAAACCCATAGTCCGGATTTGTGCCTGACGTCATGGGTAGCCACCATTAGATTCGTTCTTTGACAGTTGGAGCACGGAGAGCGCAAGCACAGATAGCCATCAGCATCCCCTCACGGCATTACAAACGGGAGAGAACGAACAGAAAATATGTCGAGTGGACCGTTATACGACGCTACATAGGGAGAGACCTCGTTTTCCTCTTCAAAGCGGCCCCCGAAACGCGCTGCAGTGGAGCGGAGTATGCGTCGCTAGGTGAATTGATAAATAGCTTTGCTGTTAAAGGGATGCAGTTGTTGCTTTTCTGCCTCTAAACTAACAGCGACAGCACAACGGCGCTTTGGATAAAGCAGCAAGAACAACAACTAATCCCCCGGAACGAGCACAACAACTAGGCTACATCTGCCACCGGCAGGGAACCAAGGACATAAACCAAGAATAAAAATGGAAACGTTAGCACGAACTGGATTAAATTAAAGAGAATATAGAGATTTTTGAGAATAGGGAATGTTTTCATGGTATGTACGTTAATTTTAGCTTTTATTTTCTGTGGAAATGGGAGCTTTAACCAGCAGACAAAATGCAGGAGTGGAAGAGGTCGATATACCGTCGAACTCGGTGTACCGCTATCCACCGAAATCTGGTAAGTGATGCCTGTGCCTCATAGGCGACAGTACACACATGAATAGGAGCGGAACCTAGCCTGGAAACCCCACGTTGAATTCCATTGAATTCTATGTCAGGCATAAATGAGTTTATCAAGATAGTTTTCTCTCATGAGCTCTACAAGCCAGAATGTTGAATACAATTATATTTTAAAGGCCCAGTGCAGTCAAAAACATGATTTTCCTGTGTATATGTACATATATATATATATTTCCACACTATGAGGTTGGAATAATACTGTGAAATTGTGAACATGATGATAATGCCCTTTTTAGTGTAAAAGCTGAAATTTCAGCCTGTTTTGGTGGGATGGAGTTTTGGCCTTCCATGGTGACTTCACCATGCGGTAAATTCGCTAATAGACCAATAAGAAAGAGAGTTCCAAACCTCTCTGCCAATAATATCTAATTTTGAGTTTTCCCCTCCCCACTCAGACCACTCCCAGACAGTCCTAGCAAAATTCTTGCTTGAGAAATTGCTCTTGCTAAGAAGTTATTTTTCTTAGTTTTTGACCATTTTAATTGAAAATAATTCAGTAAGGTACTTAATTGTTACCCAGAAAATATTTGATATTGAGATAAAAAACGGCTGCATTGGACTTTTAACTTACTTTACTGGTTGTCCATGTGGCTGGTCCTTTTGGCGGTAGGAATGTGAGACAATATATCCACAGGAAAGTATAATTACATCAACTTTTCAAAGCACTGGTAGTGCGTTCATATTCCTATCACCTGAAGCATGCGCAAAATATGAAAATACATGCACAAGACGCATGCTTAGTTTCCGAGCTCGTTTCCGTGGTTGTGTGCATGCTCCAGGGGACAGATATCTGAACGCACTACCAGGGCTTTGAAGAGTTGATGTAATTCTACTTTCCTGTGGCTATATTGTCTCACATTCCTACCTGCAAAAGGACCAACTGCACGAACAACCGGTAAATTAAGTTAAAATATAATTGTATTCAACATTGTGGCTTATAGAGGTCGTGAGAGGAAACTTTCCTGATCTAGACGCTCATTTATGCCTGACTTTGAATCCAATGCAATTCAAGTGCAAGTGCTGGTTCAGGTTATTTTTTTTATTTGGGGGGGGGGTGGTCAAGGTACTGTTAAGATACTGTTTGAAGATGTAGGGGTTTCAGATGTTGTGCCAAACACTTACACACATGAAAAAGCACTATGTGATGAGAATTGTTCGTTTCTTGGTGGTCAGTTCAGTAGCTTAGTAGTTAAGAGCGTTGGGCCAGTAACTGAAAGGTCGTTGGTTCGAATCCTCGAGCCGGCTAGGTGAAAATCTGTCATTGTGCCCTTGAGCAAGGCACTTAACCCTAATTGCTCCTGTAAGTCTCTCTGGACAAGAGCGTCTGCTAAAGTCCTACACTGCACCTCTCCCATAAGCAGCTGTAACTTTGTGTTGCGTTTACCCTTCTACCACATGTTCTAGTGGTAACGTATGTGTGTATGGAGGAGGGTTGATATCCAAGGACACAGAGACAGCCAGTGTAACCAGACTCCCTGGCTACATGAAACCCCACCTCTTTAAGGAATACCTGGGATAGGATAAAGTAATCCTTCTACCCCCCCTTACCCCACCCCAAAAAATAAAATAAAAAATAAAATAAAACATATTGTAAAGTGGTTATCCCACTGGCTATAAGGTGAATGAACCAATTTGTAAGTCGCTCTGGATAAGAGCGTCTGCTAAATGACGTAAATTTTATGTCCTTAGATTATGTGGAGGAGTGTGTCTGGCTGCATGTCCTTAGATTATGTGGAAGAGTGTGTCTGGCTGCATGTCCTTAGATTATGTGGAGGAGTGTGTCTGTCTTTAATGTCTCTGGTTATGTCCAAAATGGCACCCTTCTTAACTGCACGACTTTTGACCAGGGCCCATCGTGCACTATAGGTATAGTGCCATTCCAGAGTTTCTGGCTATCCTTATAGTGCAAAGGGAAAGGATCACTGCCGCTACCTCGCTCTCCAACCAAGGTGCATGAATTGAGGAGCAAACTGAAGAAGAGAGGAGATTCAGCAACACTTGGAGGACAATGGAATTAAATAAAAAAGCGTATTTATTGCTAAAAGTAGAACCAACGCGTTTCGGCTTTTGGCCATCATCAGGGCCTTCATCAGGCCAAACCCGAAACGCGTTGGTTCTACTTTTAGCAATAAAGAAGCTGTCTATCTTTATAGGGCAGGGACAGAGAAGCCTGCTACAACCCATCCTCCCAAATTATCTGCAATCAGTTTGGATTTCCATACGCATGCTTTCACCCAGGGGCGCAACTTTGGTTTTATCATTATTATTATTATTATCTTTTTTTTTTTTATCCAGTCGAAGAAACACTCCAAACAGCCTACCCGACCGCTCGGAGGCGTCCGCATGGTCCTAAAGCACACCGTGACCTCGTTTTGTATCACATTCCAATGATAAAACTGGGGGGGGGGACAAAAATGCTATTTCAGAATGTTGGAGGGACATGTCCCCCCCCATCCCCAATAAAAGTTGCACCCCTGCTTTCACCTATCCAGTCATGAGAGATCAGTCATTGCAGTTAAGAAGAGAGAATTGGTTTTTAGAAGAAAGTGGTATAAGACTGTGTTAGCCTGCTGAGCTAAAGCGTATGAATTAGCCTAGGGAGCTAACACAAGCCTTAAGGTCTAAAGCAAGGTTGCTCATCACTTGAGCGTTGTTCACCGAACCACTTCCATCACTGTTGAGTAGCTATGGCCTGGCCTGGGATCTCTACTTGGATTGCTCAGCCTCAGTTCCTTCTCTCTGTGTGTGTGCAGAAATACAAACACAGTGGGCATTCAAGGGTAGTAGACAGGCTCCCGAGTGGCGCAGCGGTCTTCAAAACATACATTCTAATTATTTCCCCACCAGGCAGTGTCACACAAAAGGTGTTTTGTTCCTGATCAGAACCATCTATTTATTTTACAAGCACTGCTTTGTAAGGGGAGTTGGGGGGGTGAAAACAGCCAGAACAGCTATTTTGATTCAGACCAGACGACCCTAGTCTGCAGTTTACCAGATATTACTTTAATGTGTAGAGAGACACTCAAGGTAGAAGTTGCCCCCCCTAACCACAGATCTAGGATCAGTTACCTTACCTCAAACTGTAATCTTAATCAATAGGAGATAAAGACATTTCTGATCTCAAATCAGTGGTTAGAGGCAATGTCTACTGTACCTATTCCCTATCTGTTTCTCCCACTATTGGCTAAGATTAGAACCAGGGTTGGAACACCTTGACCTAGCTGGGTGAGCTCCTTTAACTGTCCTTCAAGTAAAAAAAAGAGGAGAAACATAATTGGGCTATATTGTGGTTATATGAGGAGGCAATCTTTGGGATCAGGTTTGCTCACTTCCTCTTCCTGTTCCCCACAGGAAGTTACTTTGCCAGCCACTTCATCATGGGTGGGGAGAAGTTTGACTCCACCCACCCCGAGGGATACCTGTTCGGAGAGAACACCGACCTCAACTTCCTGGGAATCAGACCAGTGGCGGTACGGATTCTCACACTGCGCTATGCTACACTACACTAGACCTGGGTTCAAATACTATTTAGGGTATTTAAATTACTTTCAAAAACATTTGGAAGTAAGTATTCAGATATTTTTTATTTTAAAAGACAAGTAGTTGAATATTGGAATGTATTTGGATATACACTTGGAAAGTATTTGAAAGTACTCAAATACACTCCCATGCATTTAACCCAGATATTTGAAAATCCTCACAGTTTCTCTCGCTGTTCTTCTGTCTCTTTACATTTTAGTAATTTAGCAGACACTCTTATCCAGAGCGATTTACAGTAGTGAGTGCATACATTTTCGTACTGGTCCACCGTGAGAATTGAATCCACAACCCTGGTGTTGCAAGCGCCACACAGGATCTCTTTCGCTGTTCCTCTCTCTCTCTCACTCTCTCTCATATTCCTTTATATAAGTCACCCTGCCCTCTAAGCAGATGGCAATGCAGAGCCACATATCTCTTCCCCACTCACTGCATCTCTCTCCTCTCTCCCAGAGTTGTTAACTGTGATCTGCAGCATAGGTCTAGTCCATTTGAAATGAAATTGACCCCTACACTGGATTTGTACAGCTGTAGCCTTGTGTGTGTGTACGTGCGTGCAACTGGAAGTACACAGGCCTGTGATGTTGGGGATTTAGACAGCAGCTTACTGCTGTAATTATGGTTGTAAAGGGAGAGTATATTACTGGAAACTTTCTAAATTTACCAGTAAACTACCAGAGTTTTGGTATCTTTCAAGGATTTGAAGTAATCTCACAATGCATCTAGTGGCCCTTTTGGGTATTTCAGATTATCACAGGTGTCTGTAATTATCCCTGGCCCTCTGTGTGGCCTAATCACATGTCAAATATATCACATCATTAAATAAGATTTAAAATTAAAAAAGATTAATGACAAAGCTTTAAAACATTAAATATAAACCATCAAGTTAATGAATACCATTGGTGTTTAATATGAGGGTTTCAGCATAGTATCATTTTTTAAACTATATCAATATGTATTTGTTATCAATGTTTTGGCGTCAAACTGGTGGCAGTTGTGAAGAAAAGTCATTAGTTGGAAGATTTAAAGAGTTAATTGAAAATAATGCCATTGTTGATTAGATGCTTTTTTCATTAATTAGGCTATTTTCTCTTGAACCATATGGTCTATCTACTAAAAACCCATGGACAATATGGACACATATATAATAAATGAATACTATATATGAATACATTTAAAAAAAGTTATTCAAGTATAAATTGCCAAACTTTAGATTGCCATAGATTTTCTGTTAATTACCAAAATTACTGAAGATTCCGGTAACTTTGTTAAATTACCGGTAGCTTTGCAACCCTACCTGTAGTACAGAGTCACATTAAGACTACAGAGAGAAAGAGGAGAGTGTGTGTGTGTGTGCATGCATGTACAGATCCTATAGCAGAAATCTACTGGTGTGTGTTTTTTGAATGAGGCGGTATTCAGTATTATAACACATCTGGGCCCAGCAGGAGCCTTTCCTGTAAACCACACACACATTCACACCTCCCCCTAGCCCCAGAAGAAGGGTGTAGAGGTATCCAACCACATCCTCTACAATAAGTAAACAACCACAGATCAAGGTCACTACACGTATAACCTTTTTTCTAAAATAGCACGCTATCGGCAAGATCGGTGCCAGTGCGAATAAAGAATTCGCTAGGTACAGACCACATCTTCAACATAATGCATTTGAGATAGTTTAATGCAGGAAAGGTTACAAGGTATGAATGCAGAATGAAGTTATTTAGAATGAATTTGAGCTTGGAATGAGGTTGGATGATTGTTAGATGGTTGTAGAATGTTGAGTCAGAGGTGGTGTTGGAGGATGGAGAGGAAGACTGGATGGTTGAGGCATCGTGATGGTTCAGGATGGTTGAGGCATCGTGATGGTTCGGGATGGTTGAGGCATCGTGATGGTTTGGGATGGTTGAGCCATCGTGATGGTTCGGGATGGTTGAGGCATCGTGATGGTTTGGGATGGTTGAGCCATAGTGATGGTTCGGGATGGTTGAGCCATAGTGATGGTTCGGGATGGTTGAGGCATCGTGATGGTTCGGGATGGTTGAGGCAGCGTGATGGTTCGGGATGGTTGAGGCATCGTGATGGTTCGGGATGGTTGAGGCATCGTGATGGTTTGGGATGGTTGAGGCATCGTGATGGTTTGGGATGGTTGAGGCATCGTGATGGTTCGGGATGGTTGAGGCATCGTGATGGTTCGGGATGGTTGAGGCATCGTGATGGTTCGGGATGGTTGAGGCATCGTGATGGTTCGGGATGGTTGAGGCATCGTGATGGTTCGGGATGGTTGAGGCATCGTGATGGTTCAAGATGGTTGAGGCATCGTGATGGTTCAAGATGGTTGAGGCATCGTGATGATTCGGGATGGTTGAGGCATCGTGATGGTTCGGGATGGTTGAGGCATCGTGATGGTTCGGGATGGTTGAGGCATCGTGATGGTTCGGGATGGTTGAGGCATCGTGATGGTTTGGGATGGTTGAGGCATCGTGATGGTTCGGGATGGTTGAGGCATCGTGATGGCTCGGGAGGATGGTTGCTTGGTCGTCGCAGGATAGGGAAGGGGCCATGAAGACTGTGTTGGGGTGGGAGTCTTCGTGGTCTCTGCTTCTCAGCACAGAGTTAATCCCCCTTATGGACCCTGGAAAAACAGGGAGAAGGGAGGAGACAGGTGGTGGGGGGATGAAGAATGAAACAACAGATTAGGATAACAGGAACTGGATAGGGTGAGTAGGCTATATATGCAGCCATTGACTGGCAAGGAGATGTAGATGGTTTGATTGTTTCAGTTGTCGTCTTTCCTCCCAAACTAGTTACGTTACACTAACATCATTAATGCGTTGGACATTTGTATTTTTGACCCACTCAACTGTCTTCTTATACAGTCAGCAACAAAAACACAGTACACCGGGGAAAGACACTCAGATTGTGCAAAGTCCAGTAATACAAGTGGGGAAAGAAAATATATCTATTGTTTTAAGTGGGTGAAGTATCCAGGACAATGCTTTGATCTTTCAGTCGTTCTTCACACCTACAGGGTGTTGAGACTTTTGTTCCAACCAAGCACTAACACACCTGATTCAACTGATCAATGGCTTGGTGATTAGTTGATCAGATCATGTGACGCGTTTGTTGTTGTTAATGATGTGACCTTTTGTGATTGGTTCCTTTACAGTTTCCCTATGCGGCCCCACCTCCTCAGGAGCCAGTAAAGACGCTACGAAGCCTTATAAACATCCGTAAGGATACGCTGAGGCTCGTACGGTGAGTATCTCACACACAATTTACTTCTAGTTTATATCCCGTTCATTATTATTTCACTTATGCTTACAGATGTAGGATCTTAATTTGATCACTCTTTTGTTGCTGATAATTTATTTTACTACACAGCAGGAAATGCAAACTTGTAGTGTATTAAAGGTTTAAAAAGGCTTCTAAAGTTTGTAATTTCCACTTTTAAAATGTCAGACTTGATTTTCTCTAACGAAAATGTATCAACCCCTACAAAAAAGGTCCATTAATTATAATCCACATAATAATTCACATTTCCTGTTACTGCAGGATTCTTTTCCTGCTGTACCAAACTGGCTCAAATTAAAATCCTACATCTGTAGTCTGTTTTATTACACTAGTCCAGGGCTGCACTTCCTGGAGATCTACCGTCCAGTGGGTTTTCAGTCCAACCCTAATTTAACACACCTGATTCTACTTATTAGCTGCTCAACAAGACCTTAACTAGCTGAATCAGATATGCTAAATTAGGGTTGGACTGAAAACCTACAGGACAGTAGATCTCCAGGAAGAGGGTTGGGCAGCCCTGCCCTAGTCCAACATCTCAACTTCTTCCCCCAGAACCAAATCATGTAGCTGGCCGGAGACTTTCGCAAGCTTTGGTTGTTTTTTTTGCCGAGCTATACTGTTATTACATGATTGTAACGGTATGTAGATGACGCTAGCTGTGTTTCTGTGTGCTGGCAGGTGTAGTGAGGACCTGAAGCTGCCAGGGGAGGACGTGGCAGGGAAAAGCAAAGCCTGTTACAACATAGAGTTCACCTTCGACGCTGACACACAGGTGGCCATCACCATCTACTATCAAGCTATAGAGGAGTTCCACAACGGAGTGCCAATGTAAGTCTGTGTGTGTGTGTGTGTGTGTGTGTGTGTGTGTGTGTGTGTGTGTGTGTGTGCGTGTTTATCTCTCCTAACTCTCTGCATCTCTCCTATAGCTACCTCCCCCAGGACAGCTCTCTCCAGTCAGAGACGGTGCACTTTAAGAGAGGAGTCTGTCAGCAGTTCTGTCTGCCCTCTCACTCCATCAATCTGTCAGAGTGGGCCGATGAGGAGGTACGGTCTGTGTGTGTGTGTGTTTATGCATATTAGTTACAAAGTATGTGTGTGTGTTTTCAGGGTATAACCTCTCTCTCTCTCTATCGCGCCCTCTTTTCTCTATTTTCCTGCACCCTCTCTCTTTCTCTTCCTCCACCCCCTCTCTCTCTTTCTCTCTCTCTCTCTTCCTCCACCCTCTCCCTCCCCCTTTCTAGTTGCTGTTTGACATGGATAAGGATGTGTTTCCCATGGTCGTTCAAGCAACAGCAGACGAGGGGGAAGATCACATGGGTCACACCCATGTCCTCCTGGCCACCTTTGAGAAGGTAAGGAGCTTTGAGTCTGATGTGCTGTAGGATTGTAAGTAAAGTGATTAATTTATAACATGTGATAAAGTGTGTTAACTTTTACTCAGTTGGTATCTTAATGTTTGACATGTTTTGAAATGTGTTTGACTCTGGATTTAAAAGTATCCCACTGGGCACAAACTGGTTGAATCAACGTTGTTTCCACATCATTTCAACAACAAAAAATCTATGTGATGACATTGAATCAAGGTGGAAAACTAATTGCAGTCATCAGCGTATGTTTGTCTTTTTTTCATCCAACTTTTAAGCTAAATCCAATTACATGCTTCAAATGTTTGTTGATTTCACATTGAATTCACGTTAGTTGTCAACTCAATCAAATGTAAAAACTAGATGTTGAACTGACGTCTGTGTCCAGTGGTATTGGATTGTTGTAAGTATCTACTGTTTGTTCCACAGCACATGGATGGGGGCTACTGTGTCAAACCTCTGAAACAGAAACAAGTGGTGAGTTTGTTTCCACCAAGTCTCTCTCCTCTCTTGTCTCCTCTCTCTCCTCTCTCTCTCTCGTCTCTCTCTCTTGTCCCTCTCTCTCTCTCCTCTCTTGTCTCTCTCTCTTGTCTCGCTCTCCTCTCTCTCCTCTCTCTTGTCTCGCTCTCCTCTCGCTCTCCTCTCTCTCTCCTCTCTCTCCTCTCTCTCCTCTCTCTTGTCTCTGTGTCAAACCTCTGAAACAGAAACAAGTGGTGAGTTTGTTTCCACCAAGTCTCTCTCCTCTCTTGTTTCTCTCCTCTCTTGTCTCTCTCTCGTCTCTCTCTCGTCTCTCTCTCCTCACTCTCTCCTCTCTTTCCTCTCTCTCTCCTCTCTCTGTATTCTAATTTGCCCCCTCTTTTTTCTGCTTTATTGCCCCCCCCCCCCCTCTCCTCCAATCTCGCTCTCCCCGTTTCACCATCCTACCTGGTATGTTTTTTAGTGAAACCTTCTCTCTCTCCCCGTTTCACCATCCTACCTGGTATGTTTTATAGTGAAACCTTCTCTCTCTCCCCGTTTCACCATCCTACCTGGTATGTTTTATAGTGAAACCTTCTCTCTCTCATCCCCAACATGTTTCCTCTCCAGGTGGATGGGGTGAGTTACCTTCTTCAGGAGATCTACGGCATCGAGAACAAGTACAACAGCCAAGAATCAAAGGTACCAAGTTGAGAATTTGGATGTTTAGGGCATGCTTTTTGTTAAAAACTTGACTCAAAATGACTCTGGAGGACTGGAGTTGGGAACCATTGCCCTAACCAGTTCTACAGTCATTTTGAAAGTTTTGAACAAAAAGCATTGTGGTCACTAGTCCATGCCCTAAACACACTGGGTTAGAGGATACAGTATGCACAGTAAATGTCATTGTTACTGTGTTGTTTGACCAAGCTACCATACTGCTCTCTGAATGTAAATGTATTGATGTATTCATTGATTGACATATTGATTGATTGATTACGTTGTCCCCAGGTTGCGGATGATGAGATCAGTGATAACAGTGCGGAGTGTGTGGTGTGTCTGTCGGACGTCCGTGACACACTCATCCTGCCCTGCAGACACCTGTGTCTCTGCAATGCCTGCGCCGACACTCTCCGCTACCAGGCCAACTGCTGCCCCATCTGCAGACTGCGTGAGTCTATAATGCTACTTAAGATGTTTTGTAAGCCATACGTTGGTATGCATAAGACCATCACGTCAATACTTAAAGGCCCACCTCAGAGGAAGTTGCCGCACCTACAGTACCAGTCAAAAGTTTGGACACACCTACTCATTCAAGGGTTTTTCTTTATTCTTTACTATTTTCTATATTGTAGAATAATAGTGAAGACCATCAACACTATGAAATAACACATATGAAATTATGTAGTAATAAAAAAAGTGTTAAACAAATCAAAATATATTTTAGATTCTTCAAAGTAGCCACCCTTTGCCTTGATGACAGCTTCACCTGAAATGCTTTTCCAACATATGCTGAGCACTTGTTGGCTGCATTTCCTTCACTCTGCGGTCCAACTCATCCCAAACCATCTCCATTGGGTTGAGGTTGGGTGATTGTGGAGGCCAGATCATCTGATGCAGCACTCCAACACTCTCCTTCTTGGTCAAATAGCCCTTACACAACCTGGAGGTGTGTTGGGTCATTGTCCTTTTGAAAAACAAATGATAGTCCCATTAAACGCAACCCAGATGGGATGGCGTATCGCTGCAGAATGCTGTGGTAGCCATGCTGGTTAAGTGTGCCTTGAATTCTAAATAAATCACAGACAGTGTCACCAGCAAAGCACCCCCACACCATCACACCTCCTCCTCCATGCTTCATGGTGGGAACCACATATGCGGAGATCATCCGTTCACCTACTCTGCGTCTCACAAAGACACGGCGGTTGGAACCAGAAATCTCAAATTTGGACTCCAGACCAAAGGACAGATTTCCACCGGTCTAATGTCCATTGCTCGTGTTTCCTGGCCCAAGCAAGTCTCTTCTTATTAATGGTTTCCTTTAGTAGTGGTTTCTTTGCAGCAATTCGACCATGAAGCCCTGATTCACGCAGTCTCATCTGAACAGTTGATGTTGATATGTGTCTGTTACTTGAACTCTGTGAAGCATTTATTTGGGCTGCAATTTCTGAGGCTGGTAACTCTAATGAACTTATCCTCTGCAGCAGAGGTAAGAGCCAGTTTCGTCATAGTGCTTGATGGTTTTTGCGACTGCACTTGAAGGATTGACTGACCTTCATGTCTTAAAGTAATGATGGACTGTCGTTTCTCTTTGCTTATTTGAGCTGGTCTTGCCATAATATGGACTTGGTCTTTTACCAAATACGGCTATCTTCTGTATACCACCCCTACCTTGTCACAACAGAACTGATTGGCTCAAACGCATTAAGAAGGAAAGAAATTCCACAAATTAACTTTTAAGAAGGCAAACCTGTTAATTGAAATGCATTCCAGGTGACTACCTCATGAAGCTGGTTGAGAGAATGCCAAGAGTGTGCAAAGCTGTCATCAAGGCAAAGGGTGGCTACTTTGAAGAATCTCAAATATAAAATATCTTTTGATTTGTTTAACACTTTTTTGGTTACTACATGATTCCATATGTGTTATTTAATAGTTTTGATGTCTTCACTATTATTGTTTAGGTTTCAGGGGGAAGACTGACGCAGGCTGCTAATACATGTTCAGGAATTGGAGGGTGGGAACGTTGTGTTGATTTCCACATGTATCAGAGAAATAACAACAAATTAGGCATTGACTGACAGCTGTCATTGTAGCTAGCTAGCATGCTAACCTTAGCTAGCTGATGAAAGTTATGTGAGCACCATTTCACTTAAGACGGGCATACTGTAAGCCAGGTGTAATAATTGCATTATCTAAACTGCGTCTGTGAATCCGCCATAAAAATAGAAAGAATATAAGCTAAGTAATATGGATAGCCAGTGGTCCAGTGTCCGGGTGGGTGGAGATTTCTCTTTAGGATCAATTCAATGGTCAAAGAATGAGCAAACCCTGCACACCCGGGGCACCAGGCCATGCAAAACCATTCATCTTAGGGCGACAAGGGGAGCAGGGTTCTAAAATGCAATCATATCACGGAGTTTTACTATTTATAATATGGTCATATATTTATTTATGCAGACTAGCTCATAAATAAGTTACATTTGACAAATTATCCAATGGATTATGAAAAAAAAGGGGAGGTGCAAAAACATTAGTTTCCCCGCGACTCGCAAAGTTTGCAGGTGTTTCTGAATAATAAACAATGCCATGCTGGTGGGTGGTACCATTCAAATAAAACCCAGCCCTGAAACTAAACTAGGAAAAGACATGTCATTGGCACGAATTTGCACAAAGCGGGCAGTTCGGTTTTGTCACTTCAAGCTCAAATATATAATAATTTGACAAAAACTATTACTTATTGACTTACATTGTTGTGCAGCATCATGGGTAAGCTCTGGCCATCATCTTTCAACTCGAATAACTGGATTTCTACTGGTGTGAGCGTTTAATCATGTTATAATGCGTCCTCAGCGTTCCGGGCCCTGCTGCAGATCCGAGCCATGAGGAAGAAGCTGAGTCCTCTCTCTCCTGCCGGGTTTAACCCCGTTATCACCTCCCAGACCTCCGATTCAGAGGAACACTCGGTACGATATATACCCATATATATATTTTTAATACAGTGTATAGCAACATGACATCTCATCTCCTTTTTTCGTTCTCTTTACCCCCCCCCAGGCGTCAGACCACATCCCCCCAGGTTATGAGGCAGTGTCCCTCCTGGAGGCTCTGAACGGGCCCCTGAGCGTGTCTCCCTCGGCCCCCCCTCTGCAGGACCTCACTGGGGGCCACGTCTCAGGGACCCTGCCCCACTACAGCAGTGAGACCCACCCCGCCCCTGCCCGCTCCATGTCCCCCCTGGACCACTCCAACTCCAGCCAGGGACTCAAACTGAAGAAGAGCGGATCCAAGTGAGTGGAGCTTGAAGACACAGGTCGTGTCCCAAATGACACCATATTCTCTATACAGAGCCCTATAGACCCTGGTCAAAAGTAGTGCACTACATGGGGAATAGGGTACCATTTGGGATGCAGCAACGCATACAAACATACTGTACATTTGAATAGGAATTAATGTCCTAGGACTTTTAAAGGTTTAGCTAATAGAATATCTTTCTTTCGGGGACAAAAGTAGTGTTGTGAGAGTGTTTGTTGTGGTGTTTATGATTCTGACTGCTGCATTGTGGGATGTGTCAGGTCTCTCTCCCAGAATTCTTCGGTGCTGCCCGAGGAGGAGGACGAGAAGTCAGAACGCAGCGAATCAGAAGTTCAGGCCTGCCGTCGGAAACAACAACCGGAGGTACACTGACACAGTGGGTGCGTGTGTGTTGGTGTCTGTGTCCGTCTCCAGTGTGTGTGTTTGACCTTACTCCCTCTGCTCTCTGTTCCAGAGTGGTGTAACTCCAGAGAGTGAGAACCTGACTCTATCCTCGTCTGGAGCCATAGACCAGTCCTCTTGTACTGGGACACCTTTCTCCTCCACCATCACCTCCCCTGAAGGTGGGCCTTCTGCTGGGGCTGGCAGGGGGTGCCAGTGGGCAATGGAAAATGTGTCAAATTATTAAACATTGTTAATTCTTCTTCTCTCTGTCTCTCTCTCTCTCTCTCAGACCAAGTGAGCAGTAGCCTGGCCCAGTCAGTCATGTCCATGGCTTCTTCCCACAGCCATCACTCTCAGATCAGCACTGACACCCTGTCTTCCATGTCCGGTTCCTACCTGGCCGGGCCGGAGGGGGAGGTAGAGGGGGAGGAGGGGGGAGAGGCAGAGGGGGAGGAGAACCAGGACGCACCCATGGAGAGCCGGGGACCCTCACAGCAGGATGGGGAGGTGAGAAACAGGGCAGAGGAGGGAGAACAGGGGTGGAGAAGGGGCTTGTCAATCTCTGACATAGAGAATAACCCCCCCCCCCCCCCTCTATATCTCTCTTTTGCTCTCTTTCTTTGTCTCGCTCTCAGGAGCTACCCATGGAGCCAAAAGAACAGAACTTCTCAGTCGCTGTGTCAGAAGAGCAGGATTCAGAGGTGCTTATATACTAGGGTCATTCCACGAAGAGTGCCTTTTGTGTCCCTTTGATATTTTAAGTAAGAAATTGTGCACCAATATTGCATTTTAAAAGCCTGTTATATTAAAGGAAGTGCCCTTTTAATGTAGACCACATGGAGAATTCAATAAATCAGATTTTTAATATGAATAAAGACTTGTTAAAGTGCAGAAATTCAGCATTTTCACGTCCCTCCGTCAACCCTGCGTCACTTCTAGGAAGACTTTAACCCACTTAATCCCAACATCTCACCAAGTTTTCACCATCATTGTAAAGCCTTAGTTATTTTGTTGCTTTGACAAAGTCATTTCTGAAGATGATTATTTATTTCATGTTATTAGAGATTGTGGTGCAGAAGGGCCTAGCAGCAGGTGGAACGCTGGCTAGGAACAAGCTCCAGCTGAGCACTGTTCCCTTAACGAGGGTGGGGCAGCCCTCTAATTGACTGCCTAAAGACTTAAAAGTGTGTAGCTCTCACTCTGCGGGGAGAGCATACGTCACGTGAGGTATGGATAGGACTGATATGATTTGCAGCGTTTAAGCTTTTGGCATGTCCTGTTGACCCTGTAGAGCTCTGAAAGAGCCAGGATGTAATTTTCCTTTTCTTAATTAAAGCCTCTTTGTTTGCACCGCGCTCCTGTCTCCTGTGCCTTTACCTTTGGGTCATTGCCTACGCCCGCCCCCTAGACAGTGGAAAAACCCTTGCACTGTCACAGTGATTCCTTTACGTCTGTCCCTCATTTTTAAGGTCAACCCTGTTACGTGAACTGAACTCTCGTTTTCATATGGTGAAACTATTGCTTTTTAAATATTCTAAAGATACATTGAACATCTAATAGTCAAATCATAGAGTGACATCAGATGAGCTGGTTCTACACTTTTTGGCCATTTTGTGTTGGAGAACTGAGCTGGTCGAGCATAACATGTCAACCCTGTTACCCATAGATAGACAGGCTAAAATTGTTTTTAGCATTTTTTTTTTTTTTTGGGGGGGGGGGGGTGATGCTTCCATTCAATTGCCACTCCCTGTTGCACACAATAAGCTTCCATTCCCCCTGTCACAAGGTGATTTATGGATGATTTTAAGAAGAAATCATCAACCCTGTTACTTTATTTGGCTCTTAATAGGCACTTACTAATAGTATTTTTTAAAAATGTTTAATCTCTTGAGATGGGGAAAATTAGTTTTTTATGAAGTTAAACGTGCTCTTTATGACAGAATTTTTAAATGAGATGAAATCAAGTTTTTTGGCCCAAGTTACACTTCTCAAAAGTCACCGAATTGGTGGAATGTACCTAAACTATATGAATGGATATAGATATTAAACATATAAAATACAACAAATCTAACTGCTTCTCTCCTTCTCACAGGGAAATGATGTCACAGAGGAAGACTGCCCCTCCCCTTCCCATGAGCAGGGTAACTATGTGACCTCTTATTGACCTTTTCACCTCTCACCTCTGACCCCTCTCTCTGTTTTACCCTCCTCACTATCTGGCCATGCTGGAAAGGACAGAAGTATGGGGCAGTCTAACCACTAATACAATGTTACCCACTAATCCTAACTTAAAGCCTCACCCAAACTACTTACCCTTGCCCTACATCAAGGAACAAAACAAATATATCTCCTGTACTCACTCATCAGTTCTGACGACATTGCCACTTTTGTCCTTTCTAACATGGCATTCTAGTGACTGACTACCCTGTCACAGCACCCTATACTTTGAACTACCATAGAAAGCCCATTATTAGTTAGATAGCAGGGTGTGCTAAGTGGTGCCATGCTAGATTCTCTCCACTGTAAATTAAAATGTGGGCTAAAATACTGGCCATCGGTGAAATCATCCCAAGTCATGCGTTTGCACCTGTGCATTTGGCTCAGTGTGTATGAGTCAGACCTGGTTCAAATACATGTGTATTTGTTATTGAAATACTAATTGTATGTGTATTTGAGTATTTTCTAATACTGTGACCCGAATAAACTAGCCTACTTCTATTGAAAGTATTTTCAAATACTATTTTCAAATACCTGGGTTAAATGGGAGTATAATTGAGTCAGTGTATTTGAGTAATTTTAAAATACTTTCCAAGTGTATTTCCAAATACATTCCAATATTCAACTACTTGTCTTTTCAAATACAACATATTTAAATGTCTTTGAAAGTAATTGAAATACCCTAAATAGTATTTGTACCCAGGTCTGGGGTGTGTGTGTGTGTGTGTTGTTAGTTTGCCCATGCTTGTGTGTGTGTGTGTTTGCCTGCTGTGCTCTGCATGTGCTGCTTAGATTCCACAACCTAATATGCAGTTGTATGTACAGTATATTTGTGTCTGTGTGTCTCTCTCTCTCTGGAGCTCTCTCTCTTGTGTCTCTCTCTCTCTCTTTGTGTGTGTCTCTCTCCCTTCTCTGTGTGTGTCTCTGGTGCTCTCTCTCCTATCTGTATCTCGTCTCTGTATGTGTCTCTATTCTCTCTCTCTCTTGTGTTTGTGTGTTTTGTTCTTGGGTCCTTTTCTGTCTCTCTCTGTCTATCTGTGTGTCTCTCTCTCTCTCTCCTCTCTTCTCGTGTGTTTCTTCTGTGTGTGTTCTCTCCTGTTGTGTGTGTCTCTTCTCTCTCTCTCTCTCCTCTCTCTGTATTTCTGCTCTCTCTCTCTCTGTGTGTGTGTGTGTCTCTTTGTTGTCTCTCTCTTCTTATGTGTTCTGTGTATATGTTTGTCTTTTCCTCCTTTTTCTTTTTTCTTCTTTCTCCATTTCTCTTATTTCTTCTTTTTGTTTTATTTTTCCCCTTCTGTATGTGTTGTCTCTTTCTCTCTCTGTGTGCGTTTTTTTTCTTCTTCTCTGTGTATGTGTTTCTCTTATTTGTGTTTGTTTTGTTTTTTCTTTATTTTGCTTTTGTATTGGTGTCTCTCATCTCTGTGTGTATGTTGTCCTCTTGTGTGTGTCTCTGGGTCTATCTTCTCTTTTCTTCCTGTTATTTGTCTCTATCCTCTCCTGGTGTAGTGTGTCTCTTTTGTTTTGTGTTCTCCTCTCTGCTTCTCTTTTTGTATTGTCTCTCTCCTATCTCCCCTTTTGTTGTCTCTCTCTCTCTCTCTGTTTTTGGGGGTCTCTCTCTCTGTTTTGGTGTCTCTCTCTCCTTGTCTTTGATCTTCTCTCCTCTCTGTTATGTGTCTCCCCTCTCTCCGTGTATGTCTCTCTCTCTCTCTGTGTATATGTCTCTCTCTCTCTCTGTGTATATGTCTCTCTCTCTCTCTCTGTGTATATGTCTCTCTCTCTGTGTCTCTCTCTCTGTGTATGTGTCTCTCTCTCTCTCTCTCTGTGTATATGTCTCTCTCTCTGTGTCTCTCTCTCTGTGTATGTGTGTCTCTCTCTCTCTGTGTACTCTCTCTCTCTCTCTCTCTCTCTCTGTATATGCCTGTATGTCTCTCTCTCCGTGTATATGTCTCTCTCTCTCTCTGTGTATGTGTGTCTCTCTCTCTCTCTCTCTCTGTGTATGTGTCTCTCTCTCGCTCTGTGTGTATGTCTCTCTCGCTGTGTGTCTCTCTCTCTCTGTGTATATGTCTCTCTCTCTCTCTCTCTGTGTATGTGTCTCTCTCTCGCTCTGTGTGTATGTCTCTCTCTGTGTATATGTCTCTATCTCTCTCTCTCTCTGTGTATATGTCTCTCTCTCTGTGTATATGTCTCTCTCTCGCTGTGTGTCTCTCTCTCTCTCTGTGTATATGTCTCTCTCTGTGTATATGTCTCTCTCTCTCTGTGTATGTGTCTCTCTCTCGCTGTGTGTATATGGTCTCTCTCGCTCTCCTCTCTCTCTTGGTATATGTCTCTCCTCTCTCTCTTGTATATATACGTCTCTCTCTCTCTGTATATATACGTCTCTCTCTCTCTCTGTATATATACGTCTCTCTCTCTCTCTGTGTATATACGTCTCTCTCTCTCTCTCTCTCTCTCTCTCTCTCTCTGGTATATGTCTCTCTCTCTGTGTGTATGTGTGTCTTCTCTCTCTTGTTGGTGTATCTCTCTCTCTCTGTTGTTATATATGTCTTCCGTCTCTCTCGTGTATATGTGTCTCTCTCTCTCTGTATATGTCTCTCTGTGTATATGTGTCTCTCTCTCTCTCTCTCTCTGTATATGTCTCTATCTCTCTCTGTGTAAATGTCTCTCTCTCTCTCTCTGTGTATATGGCTCTCGCTCTCTCTGTGTATATGTCTCTCTCTCTCTCTGTATATGTCTCTCTCTCTCTCTCTCTGTATATGTCTCTCTCGCTCTGTGTGTATGTGTGTCTCTCTCTCTCTCTGTATATATACGTCTCTCTCTCTGTGTATATGTCTTTCTCGCTCTCGCTCTCACTCTCACTCTCTCTCTCGCTCTCTCTCTCTGTATATTATATATCTCGCTCTCTCTATCTCTCTCTCTCTCTGTATATGTCTCTCTCTCTGTGTGTATGTGTGTCTCTCTCTCTCTCTGTGTGTATCTCTCTCTCTCTCTGTGTATATATGTCTCTCGCTCTCTCTGTGTATATGTGTCTCTCTCTCTCTCTCTCTCTGTATATGTCTCTCTGTGTTTATGTGTCTCTCTCTCTCTCTCTCTCTCTGTATATGTCTCTATCTCTCTCTGTAAATGTGTCTCTCTCTCTCTCTGTGTATGTGCTCTCTCTCTCTCTCTCTCTCTCTGTATATATCTCTCTCTCTCTGTGTGTATATGTGTCTCTCTCTCTCTATCTCCCAATCCTCCTCTTTTCCTCTACTTCTCCACTCCAAAGTCAGATACATTGGGCTTCAATCTCTAACCCTGCCTCTCTGTGTCCCCAAAGTTTGAGTGTGTGTGTGTGTGTGTCCCCCGAGTTTGAGTGTGTGTGTGAACCCTGAGTTTGAGTGTGTGTGTTTGTCCAGAGCTTGAGTGTGTGTGTGTGTGTGTGTGTGTGTTATTTATGAATGTGTGTTTAAATGCTTGTATGTCTGCCTGTGTGTGTATCTGATGTGTTTGTGTGTGACATCTTAATCATCATGCATGTTCTGACTAGTATAGAACTTCTTAATATGTATTTTCCTCCAGTCATAGTGGAATTGTGTGTGTGTGTGTGTGTGTGTGTGTGTGTGTGTGTGTGTGTGTGTACACGTTTTACTATTCTTGTGAGTACCAGAAGTCCTCACTAGAATAGTAAACCAACTAAAATTCAGAGAAGTGAGGACATTTTGCTGGTCCTCACTTGTAAAAAGGCTATTTTAGGCTTAGAGGTTAGATTAGGGTTAAGGAAAGTAGGATTTTGAATGGGAATCAATTGTTGGTCACCAAAAAGTCCTCACAAGTATAGTAAGACGTGTGTGTGTGTGTCAATATGGAGTGGTGCTATTGGCTGTGGGCATTAAATAAACAATAACAAACAATTAATAAATTAGTCAATAAGGAAACCAAAGGAATCCTGTCTCTATAAATGTCATGTGCGTGTGATGTATGTTTGCATGTATCTGTCCCTGCTGCGCTGTGTGCCAGCTTCCATGTGCATCCTCTGAGCCTGCTGAGCCACATGCTTATCATCACCATCACATGATCACACACACACACAAACACACACACACTAGTATGGTCATCTAAAAAACGACTGACCCCCATCTACACCCCTGGCCCCGCCCCCCTGCTGTGCCTGGCTGCTGTTGTTTGACCTTTGCCCTCGCTTGCAGGTGGGCGGAGCAGGTGTCCAGAGTTGGCCAATAACAATCAGGGCGTCGCCCTCTGCGACACGCACTGTTTGGGGGGGCTGGACAATGAGCAGGTTCCCGACAGCCGATTCGCCGGTGAGTGGCAACCTACCGAACATGGACCAATCAGAGCTGAGACTGGGGCGGGGGAGAAGGGGGAGAGAAAGGGGTGTCAGTGAAAGGAAATAAGAAGTGAGCGAGGGATCATGGAGGAGAGGGATCATGGAGGAGAGGGATCATGGAGGAGAGGGATCATGGAGGAGAGGGATCATGGAGGAGAGGAGAAGCAGTGGAACAGAAGTCAGGGTAGAGAGGGGAGAGAAGATTGAGAGGATGGAGAGGGAAGGAAGACTGAAGGAAGAGGTAGACAGAAGGAAGAGGTTGACAGACAGGTAGACTGAAGGAAGAGGTAGACAGATAGGTAGACAGACAGGTAGACTGAAGGAAGAGGTTTACAGACAGGTTGACAGACAGGTAGACTGAAGGAAGAGGTTGACAGACAGGTAGACTGAAGGAAGAGGTTAACAGACAGGCAGACAGAAGGGAGAGGTAGACAGACAGGTAGACTGAAGGAACAGGTTGACAGACAGGTTGACAGACAGGTTGACTGAAGGAAGAGGTTAACAGACAGGTAGACTGAAGGAAGAGGTTGACAGACAGGTAGAATGAAGGAAGAGGTTGACAGACAGGTAGACAGAAGGGAGAGGTAGACAGACAGGTTGACAGACAGGTAGACTGAAGAAAGAGGTAGACAGGTAGACACAGGTTGACAGATAGGTAGACCGAAGGAAGAGGTAGACCGACAGGTAGACCGACAGGTAGACCGACAGGTTGACAGACAGGTTGACAGACAGGTTGACAGACAGGTAGAGTGAAGGAAGAGGTTGACAGACAGGTTGACAAAGCTTTAAGCTGAGGCTCCAATGTTTCTAGCTGAGATTGTGTTTAGCACAAACAGAAAGTGAAGAGGGGAGAGTGGTAGATTAGATGCCCTCCAAATGTCTGTCTACTACTGTTGTTTCATCTCAAAGGGCTCAGGAAATAGATGCCGGAAAGGGAATGAATGAGCCAGACTAAATAAGGCTGTAATTGGCATCAGCAGTGGGATCCATCCATACCGAACACAAGACAGCATATCTTTCTCAGCAGTTAGAACAGGAGGCTTCCTTCTTCTCATCATCCACCCTTCTTTCACTGTTGTGGTTGTCGTCTGTTGTTTTTCTCAGTAGTAGGTGGTTGTGCAATCTCTTCCTCCTCTCCCCCCAGTAAAAAGCTCCTGTGTGTGTGAGAAAGTGTGTGTGTCTTTATGTTTGTGAGTGTGTTTGATTGTGGATATGTGAGAGAGTGTGTGTCTTTGCATGTAACTGTGTGTGTTTGACCATGTTTTATTTGTCCGTGTTCTGTGTGTGTGTGTGTGTGTGTGAGAGCTTGTGTGGTGTTCTATTTGTCTGTGTTCTGTTTTTCCGTGTGTGTGTGTATGAGAGAGAGAGAGGAGAGTGTGTGTGTGAGAGAGAGTGTGTGTGTGTGAGAGAGAGTGTGTGTGTGTGTGTGTGTGTGAGAGAGAGAGCGTGTGTGTGAGCGCGTGTGGGTGTACTATCTGGTCCATCTCAGAGCTCCAAGTTCATGTTCAGTGTCTGCCAGTTCCGAGCCGCTTTGCTAATCGTCTGCGACTCATCCCTCCATCCATCTCTCCCTCTCCTCTGCTTCTCCCTCGCTTGCTAGATGTGCCCCTCTGCTGTGCTGACCAGAAGCAGGTTACAGTGAGGGAGGGGTGAAAGGCTTTGTTTCTCAAGAGGAATCCCAGTGCACAGCAGTGTGTCAAGATCCAGGTGTTGCTTTTGACAAGAACAACAAGTATCCAAAAACAAGTGGAAAAAACGTAGCTTTAGCTTTGTTTATCTATCTCTCTAGCACTCTAACATGGGTGCTGTTTCTGCGGCCACCAACTCTCAAACTATTAGTCCCTGTTTTCCTGCCTTTTTGTTACAAATCTCAAGCCGCAGAGTGAACGCAGAGATGTAGACATCTGGCTACTAGAGAACAGTCCCTATTTTAATAATTACAGACGAAGCCTTTGCTCCTCCCATTCCTGTAACTCCCAACTTATTGACCCCTGACCCCAGTCCCTCGCTCTCCCTTGGTCGCCCTTGTACCCCCCCTCCCCCTTCTCTTTGTGGTGTTTGAATTCTCTGTGCCGTAAATGTGTTCTATTCTCTGTTTCTCTCCTTTATCCATCATTTCATATTTTCCGTCTCCTCTTCGATGTCCCTCTCTCTCTTTCTCCCTCTCTCTCTGCTCTCTTTCGGATGGACAGATGCGGACTCATGCCCTGTGCACATTGAGGAATAGGTATGGCTATAGCTGTGGCTAGCTGGTAGGTAGGTCAGAGGATATTCACTCAAACTAAAACCACAGACTCACACTATTGACACTGTAGACTGTGTTGCCTGTTAAATAACCGCTACCTGGTAAATAACCGCTACCTGGTAAATAACCACTACCTGGTAAATAACCACTACCTGTCTATCTGGTAAATAACCACTAACTGGTAAATAACCACTACCTGGTAAATAACCGCTACCTGTTAACCTCTTAAGGATCTGATCCTTTTTTTCAATTTTCGCCTAAAATTACATACCCAAATCTAACTGCCTGTAGCTCAGGACCTGAAGCAAGGATATGCATATTCTTGAGACCATTTGAAAGAACACACTTTGAAGTTTGTGGAAATGTGAAATTAATGTAGTAAATATATAACACATTAGATCTGGTAAAAGATAATACAAACAAAAAACATTTTTTTGGTTCCATCATCTTTGAAATGCAAGAGAAAGGCCACAATATAATATTGCAGTTTGGCGCCATTTAGATGTTGGCCACTAGATGGCAGCAGTGTGTGTGCAAAGTTTCAGCTTGATCCAGTGAAGCATTGCAATACTGGACTATTTTGTATCAGGTCTGCCCGAATTGGTCAATTGATACATTTTCAAGTACATAACTATAGACAACATACAAAAAATGATATGGTAATACAAAATGTAAGTTTACACACTCCCAGAAATGTCATACATGATGGATCATTAGCTTATACACTAACTTTCACACATCTAGATGGCCGGGCGGGGTGGGTGTGGAGCCAGAGACAGCAAGGGTTCAAACTGTAGAACCCAGTTCCTACATTTTAATATAAAAATTGATTTTATCAAACAAAACTATGCTACATTTTATCTCTGGGACCCTCAGGATGACAAATCAGAGCAAGATTACTGAATGTAAGTACATTACCTTCAGAGGTGAATGTATCAAACCAGTTGCCGTGATACATTTTCTGTTGTTGTGCATGGTCTTTTTTCACTGTAATAGCTACTGTAAATTGGACAGTGCAGTTAGATTAACAATAATTTAAGCTTTCTGCCCATATAAGACATGTCTATGTCCTGGAAAGTTTGCTGTTACTTACAACAGTCATGCTAATCACATTAGCGCACGTAAGCTCAACCGTCCCGTATACGGGACACCGATCCCGTAGAGGTTAAATAACCACTACGTGGTAAATAACCACTACCTGGCTACCTGGTAAATAACCACTACCTGTTAAATAACCACTACCTGTTAAATAACCACTAACTGGTAAATAACCACTACCTGGTAAATAACCACCTGGTAAATAACCACTACCTGGTAAATAACCACTGTCTGGTAAATAATCACTACCTGTTAAATAATCACTACCTGGTAAATAACCAATACCTGGCTACCTGGTAAATAACCACTAACTGGTCAATAACCGCTGCCTGGTAAATAACCACTACCTGGTTACCTGGTAAATAACCGCTACCTGGTAAATAACTGCTACCTGGTAAATAACCACTACCTGTTAAATAACCACTATCTGGTAAATAACCGCTACCTGGTAAATAACCACTTGTTAAAATAACCACTACCTGGTAAATAACCAATTGTTAAATAACCACTACCTGTTAAATTACCACTACCTGGTAAATAACCATCACCTGGCTACCTGGTAAATAACCACTACCTGGTAAATAGCCACTCCCTGTTAAATAACCCATACCTGGCTACCTGCTAAATAACCATTACCTGTCAAATAACCACTTGTTAAATAACCACTACCTGCCAAATAACCACTTGTTAAATAACGATTACCTGGCGACCTGGTTAATAACCACTACCTGTTAAATAACTACTACCTGGTAAATACCCACTACCTGGCTACCTGGTAAATAACCACTACCTGGTAAATAACCACTACCTGGTAAATAACTACTACCTGGTAAATACCCAATACCTGGCTACCTGGTAAATAACCATAGTGTGATTTAGAGCAGTGATCTCTTACCTTTCTCCTGGAGAGCCAAACGGTGTTCAGAGTTTATTAGTTTCAACCCAGCACTCAAACACCCATCTTTGACTAATCCTCAAGAAGGCCTTGATTAGTTGAATCAGGTGCTGTAAGTGCAGTGCTAGTACAAAACCCTGCATGTAGCTATTGTAGCTCTCCTGTTTTTCAGGGATGAATCCCAACTTGAGAAACACATCTAGTAAAAGCGTTCTGTGCACATTTCTGAAGTTGGGATCGGTCCCTTATTGAATGTGCATGCGGCCCAGTAGACCTCACTTTAACTCCCCATCTCTATGACCAGGTAGGTAGCCTTGTGGTTAAGCGCTTTGGGCCAGTAACCGAAAGGTCGCTGGTTCGAATCCCTGAGCCGGCAAGGTGGAAAAATCTGCCTTTCTGCCCTTGAGCAAGTCAGTTAACCACCAACAACAACTGCTCCCCGGGCGCCAATGACGTGGATTAAGGCAGCCTCCCACACCTCTCTGATTCAGAGGGGTTGGGTTAAATACGGAAGACACATTCTGGTTGAATGCATGCGCAACTGACTAGGTATCCCCGTTTACCAATCCCCTTCCCCCCAGTTAGACTGGTCTGCCACAGACTTGACACTACCATTATTCCCCCACTAGATGGCGATAGAACATCAGTCCTCAACACAAGGACCTTGAATGTTGTTTTACTTTTATATCCTTTGTTTTCTCTCTCTATGTCTCTCTTTTTCACTCTCTCGCTCTCACTCTTTCTCTCAGGTCTGATGTATCTGGGAGGCTATAGGCCAGTGTTGGAGCCCCTCCCCCACCACGCCTCAACCAGTAATAT